GTGTTTTCTTTTTTTCTGAAGTTGCTGCTTCAGAGAATTGGTAGCAGCAGGCGAGGAAGCTGATGCTGTCAAACAAGCTCTTTTCTTCTGGAAGTGAGTACCTCACAGCCTCGACTGCTTATTTACTGTATTTTATGTTTCTCCTCCACGACATTAAACACTTTAAAAGAGGAATGAACCAAGTTTAGAGTGAGTGAGAGAACCTGAAGGCGGGGCAGAATTCAACTACTTCTTGTCTCACTAATATCCGTAAAAAAGTAGCCTTCAGCGCCGCTCTGTCAGCGCCTTGAAGCGCTGTTAGAAAAAAGTCATTTCTCGGTAGGAAGGTTACCAAATTCAGCGGTTTGTTTATGTCTTATTTGTCATATAAAGCTGTATTAAAAGGAATGAAATAGCAGTGCTGCGTTTAATGTGAATTGAAAGTGCAGTGACTTCCTGTCAGTCAGTGTCACTCCTCAGGCAGAAAAGCGTCCTTGAAGCTCGACTTACGTTTCATCTTCATTAAAAGTGACAGACATCTCTGCGTAAATAAATACTAGCCATGGCGAGAACTAAGGATTGAGTTGCGCTTGGGATGTTGGACATATCAAATAATGCGTCCCATCTGTCTTTCATTTGTTTGGAAGGACGCCCGGAGGAAAAACTCTTCAAACTGTTCCTTCCGCCGGTGACACATTCGCGTTAAAGCGCCGTTTAAAGCAGCGTTAAAATGTGCTCGCAGGGATCAGCAAAAAGATTCATTTTTCTATTTAACCCCAGCTCTTATCACCATAGTTCACCCACATACTTTTATTTATTTATTTATTTGTTTGTTGGTTGGTTTGTTTGTTTGTTGGTTGGTTTGTTTTTGCTTTTTTTAATTTAGAAATCTCTTTTTCTTTCCGTTGAATCTGCTGAATCTCTTCATGTTAATCTTTAAATTCTACTGAAATGAACCAAAACAACAAAATGTTGTGTGGCACAAGTAGAAAAGAGAAACCTCCGTGGCTTTCAGTGTGTTGTGGTTATGGACAAAAGTTTGTAAAGTATAGGCTATATTTTATTAAAGAACAACAAAATGCTTCAACATAATTTCTTAACAGCAATTTAAAATCTCTAAAATCACTCAAAATGTTGAATCTGTTCATGTTAATTTTTAAATTCTACTGAAATTAACCAAAATAACAAAATGTTGTGTGGCACAAGTACAAAAGAGAAGCCTCGGTGACTGTCAGTGTGTTGTGGTGATTGACAAAATTGCAAACTTTCCAGTTTGGGCCCAGTATTTGAATGAGAATATCTCAGGTTTTTCCACTTCACTTCACTCAGGTGCTGCCTGCTGCACTTTTCCCCTACAGTGTCATATAATGAACTGTGCAGTGTTTTTGTGTTTGTAAGTATGTACTCCTTTCATCATTTTCTCTGTTACTGTGTATTTGTCACAGTGAATGCGTTTAGAGCTTTAAACATAATGTAATAATAAACAGAGAACTTTATCAAGCATAAAACATTTTTAAATTATTACTTTGTTTATTCGAGGAGCAAAATTTTTCCCCCCTTATTTTTCCCTCCTTATAATTTACAGCTTGAGACCTTTCGCAGCAATAACTCCAACCAGCATTTCCTGTAATTTGATGTCACCCTTTTACGTTGTTGTGGGGGGGATCTGAGCCCGTTTGTCTTTGCAGAACTGCTTTAATTCATATATATTGGAAGGCTTTTGAATATGAACTGCTATTGGGTTCAAGTGAGGACTTTTATAAGGCTACTCCAAAACATTAATTTTGTTACTTGTTCACATGTGGATTTGCTTTTCTGTTTTGGATCATTGTTTAGCTGCATAACCTGATTATGATTCAACTTCAGCTCAATAACAGATGAACAGATATTCTCCTTAAGAGTTCTCTGATACAGAATTTATGCTTCCTTCAATAATAGCAAGTTGTCCAGGCAGTTACTTTTTCATTTTAGATATCTTTGCTCCTTAAATAAATATTATATTATAATATGTTATATATATTATATTTTTCTATGTTTATGTGTCTAATATTACATTGTTTAAACATTGTTTCAAAGATCTAAAAGCATTCACTGTGACGTAGGCAGTGAAAGAGAAAATTAGTAAGGGGCGAATACTTTTTCACATCACAGCATCAAATCAAGCAGTTGAATTAGAGCAGGAACACTCCAAACTGTACAGTAGAGATGAATTGTAGGGCTGAACGTGGTAGCACTGAACAAAGGATAGGCAGCATGAGTAAATTTTATGGTTATCATGATAAATTACTTTACAGTAAGTTCAGTTTGGATACAGTGAGTACTTAAAGAACACTGACCACTGCAAGTTTCATTATGAAGACAGCATAATAGTCCTGTTTAGTTGAGTTAAGTGCAGTAGGTAAAATGTTAAAATAAAAATAATTGTATTCCTAGTTTTTGATAGTGTTTTTAATGTGCCACTGCATTTATCACTCACACCTGGTCACATCATCACACGTTGGCTTCCCATAAAATACTGTATACACTACAAAATCCTGCTCACATACAAAGCTCATAACAACCTCACTCTTTTTTCATCTGTCTGATCTTCTTCTTCCCTACAAACCCAGTCATACTCTCAGGTCCTCTTTAGCTGGTCTACTCACCATTCCTTCATCAAACCTCTATAGCTTTAGCGATTTAGCATTCTCTCGATTAGCTCCTCGTCTCTGGAACTGTCTCCCTCCGCGAGTCCATCAGTCTGATTTTCTCCCCATGTACAAATCCGATCTTAAAACATACCTGATGTCTTTCACCTGCAACCCTTACCAAGCCTAAACTACTCCTCTGTCTCTGTTTTACTGTATTTTATTGTTTTGTTTTTGATATTCTGTGTATTGATGTAATTGTAAGGGTCTTTGGGTTCTTAAACAGGACTTTAAGTATTATTATTATTATTATTATTATTATTATGATAATTATTATTATTATTATTATTATTTCTAAATGTCTGTAAAGTGAGAGACCTTCAAATTTAAAATTGCCTACATTTAGATTAAGTTCAAAAGGCACACCCCTTAGCTCTCATCATACTGATTTTCACAGACTTGATTTTTAGTTTGAATTACCTGGTTAACTGGGACATCCTGCTTTGTGAAGCACCTACAGGTGTGTAGAGCAGGGAAGACAGTATGCACTGTAGGTCCAGGTGTGGGAGCTACTGAACTCGTCTGTAATCAGCCTAACTTTCCAACAGTACCTGTAATTTGCATTGTTAATGCATCTTCAAATACAGAATGAGTAAATCAGTGTTTTTTTGTGGATGGAATTGAATACTGCATTAATGAAAGTAATGGAAAAAGAATTTGGAAGCTGTCACTGTAGAAATTAAGGTCTTGGCTATTAGCTGGGTGTTTTTCTGTTTCTCTTATGCCAACAGTGACTAAACCACTGGTTAATGATTCTGAACATTCGTATCTGTCGTTCAGCAGGTTAATGCTATACGGTCAGTGAGTTCATATGTCATCATGTTTGCCACGCTGTTGGTCTTGGCTGTGGTTGTGTTGTAGGATACAATAGGGGGAAAGACCCACCCTGAAGGAAAAAATTCTACCAAAAAAGGAGAGTTTGGAAATGAGTAGATGAGTGTACACTCTGTTCTCAGGCCACCACGTTTTGAAAAGAAAATAAGATTATAAATTTAAGAGTGAAACAATACAGTGTATTGTATTATTCCATATAAGCCTCTAAACTGAATACGCTCAAGTATTAAACTGTACATTCAACAGACTGGAGCAAATAAAGTACTCTGTAGTACTGATTATACTGCATGAGGTATAATAACAATTAAATAAGCAAACCCACCATGAGGGCAGACTGTCTATCAAAAGCGAGAGCAGGGAGGAACAGCACACTCTTCATAAACATATATTAGCTCAGGGCTAACATATTAGCTAGTGGATTGTACTTTTATAATGTTGACTTCTCTAATAAACTCTTTTATGGAAACATAAGCATATTAACACAAGGCAGATTTTCAGATATCCCTCATTTTTCTGTGTCAGAAAATGTATCGAATCAAGTTGTGAATTTTGTGCATTTTTACACTCCTAGTATTTATATAATTTTGGTAAAATTTGTCTCCCTGTTAAAGAAGGGGGTAGACTTTCACTTGCACCAGTGGTTCCCTTAAAGGATGTGTGACCTCCAAAGGGGGATTCAAGTGGCAACCTCATTTTCCTGTTACCTAGACCATTTGACGTATTCCTATCTTGAAATCTGCATTTAACGCAAAAGATAACAGAGCTTTATTACAGTGAAATGACACATTTCTCACTGTCCAACCTCTCTGTATATTTTAGAATTAAACAGGCTGTTGTTAAAGGCTACTGTGCCTTTAAGCCTGATATATCTAAAAGCAGTGTAGATATGTCCTCTGTTTTGATTTGACACTCTGTATTGCTTAAAAAAAACAGTGGAAACACTCCTTATAACTTCAGTGTTAATGGGCAAGACTAAGCTGCTGTAGGCTGAAATTCAACATAGACTTTTTTGCAGTTTAGTATCCATATGTGGACCAAAGAGTGAATAGTAATTTTTGAAACGATAACAGTGTTTGCAATTTATATTTTATTTAAAAAAAAAACAAAAAAACAAGGAAAATGGGTCCTTCAGCATGTGTTACATATGGCTCTACTTTACAGCTAAAAACACGTTATTGACTATAGAGGAATGGGGTCCTTTTGACCTGATACAGTGGTGGTTGAGTGAATAAATAACCTTGGAGGGCAGTTTACCCTAGAGGCTATACTCTGTTTCGTTTACACTGTCTAGATATCACATACTATGATGAGAAACCATCTGAAACAGTGGTTATCAAAGTAGCTACAATACTGTAGTATTTAAACTATCATCCGATTGTGTTGTAGTGGTAGCTTTTTATGACTTTATAACATTTAAGGACTGGCAGTCTTCCTATCATAATGGAAAAGCTTTACAGGATATGATCTCAAAGGTCAGAGCGGTTGGCTGAGAGTGACTGGTTCTTTATTCACAAGCACAAGGCTAAAGCAGCACATGTAAGCACTGGCAGATGCCTGGAGAGAAAGAGAAGGAAATAGGATTTTCTGATTTATAGAGATTTTGAGAACAATTCCAGGCAGATTTTTAGAGAAAGGTGGGCCATTTAAGGTCAGTAAATGCGTGAATGTTCAGGCACTGGAGTAACGTGCTTTGAATGTTGCATAAATGACTACGTAGTTACTTTCGGATGTGTTTTTGTCTAGCTGTTTTGGGTGTTGTGCAACATTTGCCACGTTCTGCCAACACAGTAATCTGGCTGCGCTGTCGGAAGGGCAGGATTCTTCAGAGTGTACACTTTGTGCACAAGGGAGCTATATTTTCTTTGGTTGTTTATTTATTTTTGTTATTTCCTAATTATTTGTGCAGGGAACCCAAGCATGGCCAAGGTCTTATTACATAGTGGGGCCTTGTGTATTTAACGTTAAATATAAACAAGAACAGGGAGTGTTACTGATGCGGAGCAGCACTCTTGCGTAGGAGCCTGATGCCTTTTTTAAACCTATGGTCGTCTCCTAGGGGTGTAACAATGCATCGTGACATTGCAATTCTACGACAAACTGTGACAGTGTGCATTGTGGAAAATGAACATTCTATTAATTACGTCTAGCAAACGGCGTTGTTTCAACAAGTTTTCAAACGATCAGCACCAAGCGCTCAGCACTCAGTGTCATTAATTGGATTGAGTCATGGGCTGAATGTATTGTTACATCTCTGTCATTTCCACAAATTAGCTGAAGTATCATTACTCTGAACGAGTGAATGTTTCCCATATGCCATAGTAAACACTGTGTTTGTGTACTTCTTCCCCTTGTGGAGAATCTTAAGCCTGGTAAATGTGAGGGAGTGATACAAATAGTGAGGATTTGGGTGTGGGAGTGGGTGAGGGAGTGATGCAGATAGTGAGGGAGTGGGTGAGGGAGTGATGCAGATAGTGAGAGAGTGGGTGAGGGAGTGATGCAGATAGTGAGGGAGTGGGTGAGGGAGTGATGCAGATAGTGAGAGAGTGGGTGAGGGAGTGATGCAGATAGTGAGAGAGTGGGTGAGGGAGTGCTGCAGATAGTGAGAGAGTGGGTGAGGGAGTGCTGCAGATAGTGAGAGAGTGGGTGAGGGAGTGATGGGAAAAAGTGACTGAAGGAGGGAGCGAGGGAGTGAAGGAGTGGGTGAGTGGATGACAGAGTGGGTGAAGGAACGAAAGAGGTGATGAGTGTGTGTGGGAGTGATGCAGGCAGTGAGAGAGTGAAGAAAAGAGTGAGCGAGGGAGTGAGTGTGTGAGTGGATGACAGTGGGTGAAGGAACGAAAGAGGTAATGAGTGAGTGAGGGAGTGATGCAGACAGTGAGAGAGTGAAGAAAAGAGTGAGTGGCTGAGGTGATGACTGAGTGAAGGAGTGATGCAGACAGTGAGATAGTGAAGAAAATGAGTGAGTGGATGAGGCAGTGAGTGAATAAATGAAGGAGGCACTGGGTGAATGAGTTAGTGGATGAATGATTGGGTGAGGGATTGGTTGAGGGAGTAGAGTAGTTAGAGTCAAGGTCCGTTGGGTGCTTTGCATCTGAAAATACACATTATTCAATACAGTAGGACAATGGCAACATTATTAAGCTGTGCTGTCGCTCAACAACGCATTGAAATTATTCAAAAATAAGTACTGTGTTTATGAAGTTCATTAAAGGGCTGAAGTCCGCTGTGTTAGTATATTTTTATGTATATAAACCAAATAGTTAAATTCTAAAATCTAAATGGCTGAGCTACATTTTAAGCTGTTGTGAAGTGGTCAGTAAGTTCACATATTTCACCACATGCATCAACTGAATTCTGTAGTAATGCGTTGATACATGACTAATGCAAGTTGCTAAAATTCCCTGTTGATTATCATCAAATATATATGTATTATATTTTATTTAGTTGCCATTTTATTGAGGCAATAAACTACTCAAGGCCATGTGCTTTGTGTCATGCCTAGCAAAACCCTATAACGCATGGCCCCTAAAACTTAAACTCTGTAATAAAGTCCTTTAGAATAGTAAGTGTAGTGCTGAATTCTGTGTGTTGTTGGAAATGTTTAGACCTGCGACCTCAACTCCCAGAATCACAGTAATATCCATCCTTGTTGGAGAGCCAGAGTAAAAAAAAAAACAGTCATGTGAGTGATTTGATGGACATGGTTAATTAGGCAGTAGGTAGTGCTAACACTAATGGATATTCAGTAGGCATGTCTGTATCAACTTCCATCCTTTTAAAGATCTTGGAATGTGCTGTGGTTCCTCTGTGAATATTAGTAACCTGTAAGCGCTCCTGCATTTATTTATGACTGTTTATCTGCGTTGGTGTTGCCTGACGCTGGCTAGCTGAGAACAGCTTCCTCTCAACTTAATGTTGCCTGTCAACACTTGCATGGTGATGAGTTATCTTTAGGAAGCATAGGCCACGGTATTTGATCCTTCCCTTTTCTCCCTCTCCCACACTGCTCCAGTGAGGGCGGTAGGGCTATTCCTAGGCTCTGTGTGTATTACTCACTCTCGTACTCATACTCACACAGACTGGTCATGTATAGATATAGCTAAGCACATGGGTGCAGAGAAGTGTGCATGAAGGTGTGACACCTTAATGCATTTTGTTTTTTGCTAAATAATTTCAAAAGGATTTGATGAAGTTTTTTGTATATACAAGCAACCTACTGTGCTACAAAAGAACACCTCCAGCACCTGTTTATGAACAATTCAGCTAGTGCAAATGTTACAACTAACCCCATAGACAGGGTTAATCATAACAATAATGGAGGAGTTGCAGCAGTAACTTGAAAGTCTGGTACATTGATGCAAAACAAATGAATTCAATACAGTTCTATGCTGTTTGAACCAGAAACGCTTTCCAGTCTACACATATAAAAATATGTTCATCAAAATAAATATAATTATGGAAAATATTCGAATGTGACATTTATTGTTGACCATGAAGTAATAGTGCACGTATCAGCATAATAAAATTGAAATATATTTTATTTACATAGCAGTCTGTATCTGTGGTATCTATAGCATATCTATATTTGCCACACCTGCTCCAGCTAATCAAGCTCTTCCCAAGTTCCTGATTGGCTAGCTCAGTTAAGTAAGGAGCGGGGCAGCTTATTGGATGCAGATTGGAACTAAGCTCTGCCAGAAGGTAGCTCTCCAGGACCAGGGTTGGAGACCACTGATCTATAGTATGTTTAGAACTATCTATAGTCATTTTTGTGCGGCTGTGCACAGACATCCAAAAATTAAGTGTTTTGAATTTATATGGGAGCATATGGACTTTGTTTACTTTAGATGGCTTAGTTGTAACACAGTGTTAGTACTAACCCTGCCATATGGAGGCTGTATTTTAGCCTAGTCAGCTCTCACTGTGAGTTGTTTACATGCTTCAAAATGGTGCTATATTACAACTGTGATGTATACATATAACTCTTTAGTAGAGAAACACTTCTAATTTTACTCCATGTTAGTTCGTGCTCGGCTCTACCTTACTTAAAAGCAAAGGTAGAGAACTACCACAGAGTTAAAGCAGAATGAAGTCTGATTAGTCTGAACAGCACACTCTTTAATTGCTTTTGTCAATTGTCTTCTGACCTAACAGCAACTCAGTTCAGTTTGCGTAACAGCGGTCGCTATCTGCGTGGATGCCGAAACATGATATGATATACTGTACGCTGTGAGTGCATATCTCCAACAGACTGCAACGTGATGCCTTTTCCCCTGCCGTCAGCATACTGGTGGGCATGGCACATGACTGCATTACTCCTGAAAGAGCGCTAGACTTGTGTAGCGAGATTTGCTGTTAAGACCAGTTTTTGCAAACATCAACTTTTGTTTTTTTTGTTCATGGTATATATCAGCTTGTGACTTTTTTGACTCTTTTTTTCTTTTCTTTTTTTTTCTTGTTAAATTGCAGCCAGCAAGACTCTGTCCTGAGGTCTGAACAATGCTCCTCATCTTTAAAAGAGAAGACCGGATCAGCAGAGACCCTCACTTTTGAAATCACCTCTGCTGTAGAACCTGCACTTTGTCTCTTGCACTCTTTTGCCTATTTGGATTATTCATTTTTTTCATTTGTCATGGAGTTCGCCTGCACGTGATGATACAATGGAACTTGGAGTGTTTGGCTGACACGTGCATGGAATGTCAAAGTCGTCAGGAGAGGAGGAAGTCCACAGCGAGAGTCCCCGGTTTCTGGTGGGCTTTGAGGACCATGAGTGTAAAGAGGACAGCAGAGACATGAGGAACAATTCAGATGTTTATGATGAAGAGGAGGATGAGGATGATCTGGTAAATAATATACAAGGGCTACTATTAGTGCTGGGCAAGAAATAATCTGTACTGGTACTGGTGTAATACAAGAATATATATTTTTTGCTTTATTGACAGATAATGAGCATTACATCCATCACAATGAAGAAATACACCATGTAAAGTTCCATCATTTAAAAAAAGAACAGAACAAAACAGTCTGATCAAAACAAAATATGTCAAGCTTGTAAGACAGTCATTCAGCATAGAATAGTAGCATTCAGGAAGCACAATTCAGTTTCTTTATTAAAGCAAAGTAAATGCTGTGATATATTGGGAAAATATTGTGATGTTCAGTTTTATCAATACTGGCCGTCACTAGCTCAAAATAAAAGTGCAGAATGGCTTTGAAAGTTTAGGGTGATTAAATCAAATTATGTAAGTTAAGCACAGTATTCTACTTCTAGAGTTTGTACCTCAAATTGCTAGTTATTTCACAGAAAGTGGTAAAACATGTTGGTCTTTTATTGGCCAGTATCAGTATTGCAAGAGCAGAGGACTGATGAATTACAGTTGTGTGCAAAGGTTTTAACCCCCTGGTCAAACTACATGTTTTATTAACACATCGTCTACAAAGAACACTCTTAGAGATGGCACTTTTCTGCAGTTTAGTGCACAGTGTCTATTTATTAGCTGAATTTAAAATTTGGGGAAAAAATAAAACACAAAATATAAAATGTAATATTACATTTTATGACTTTTGCACAGACTGTGTTTTATGTTTTATTTTTTGCTCAATACATTAATTCAACAAATAAACAGTAATTGTGCATTCAACATTTGTGTAGACTTATTTTCACTTTGAAAATCCACAAACCATGTCATTTGACCAGGGGTGCCCAAACTTATGCATGCAACTGTATGTAGTGTGAAGCCAATAATCCTGAGGATTATCCAGTCCAACACTAAGGAGACACCAGTGTTATACAAAAGGAAATTTACACTTGGTAGAGCTTTTGATCTTGATTTACTACTAGTAATTTTAATACTCTGCCATGTTCTGCTGATTGCTGATTTTAGGCGTCGGAGCGTCAGATCATTGTGGGGATCTGCTCCATGATGAAGAAGTCCAACTCCAAGCCGATGACCCAGATCATGGAGCGGCTTTGTAAGTTTGAATACATCAATGTGGTCATCTTCCCAGAGGATGTCATACTTAATGAGCCAGTGGAGAAGTGGCCAATGTGTGACTGCCTCATCTCCTTTCATTCCAAAGGTAACACATATACACACTGCTTTGTGCCAGTTTATTCTCTGAATATATTACCATACATTGTATTGTTTTTCATTGTTGCACTTTGTGATATTGCATTTGAAGGATTCCCCCTGGACAAAGCTGTGAGTTATGCCAAACTAAGGAACCCTCTTCTCATCAATGATCTCAACATGCAGTACTTCATTCAGGACAGGTAGAGTGGAAAAAAGTGTATCAAATTAAAGGAGCTTAATCCGTATAATTTTAGAGGTGTTTATTCGCTTAACATTGTGTCTTATTACACAGTACCATGAATTATTTAGTAATTACTGTGAAACTACCATGTAAGGCATGTAGTTAAGCACAAGGAAGGAAAATTTGAACCGGGTGGGTGTTTAGAGTTAAGAAGTTTAATCTTAAGCATTATTCAAGATGGATTACATTTACCTGGGGAGTTTTGTTATTTAATCTGACTGGCTGATTTGATTACGATAAAGGACATGTGCAATTTCCCAAAGTTACCACAGATATCTTCGATCAAATGTCATAGTCTAGATGTAGACATCAGTGTTACATCAGGTGCCACACTCAATAACGATAACAACACATTGCACAGACTATGTGCAATTTGTAAGTTCTAATTGAACCTTCTGTTATTGAGGGTGAACAGAAGCAGACCATTCTCTCCACAATTATTGCTTATCAGACTTAAAAAAACAAAAAAAAACAGACATTGCAGATTTGTACTGGATTAAAATCATGGATCTCGTCAGTAATCATTTTAATTACAGCAACCTCTTCAAGTAAAACTAATCCAGCTCAAAAAAGGGCTATGTATAACCTAACTCTTCAATGTTGGTTGTTCTAGGAGGGAAGTATATCGCATTCTGCAGGAGGAGGGCATTGACCTGCCACGCTATGCTGTGTTGAACCGAGACCCCGACAGACCTGAAGGTAAGGGTTCTTTATTGATAAAATCTTCTGCTTCACTGTTTCAAGCGAGTGTCTCTGTTTCCTCATCCTATACTCAGAGGTACAGTACTGTACAAAAGTTTAGTCCTAGAAGTTGGTTGCATTTTCTGCTTCTCACAATCTAAAAATTCTCTAACACATACAATGATGTTGAGGTCTGGACTCTGGCGTAGTCACTTCATTGTTATGAGAACACCAGCAGCTTCTTTGATTTGCAAATTTCCTTTGATCAGTAATGGCTTCTTGACAGCTACACATCCTTTCTGACTCATAGTGTTGAGTTGTCTCCTCACAGTAGAAGGATGGACAGAAACACCTGTGGATTGTTTTAGATCTGAAGCAAGAGTGGAGTTTGATTTTCTCCTCTCTCTCAAAGATGAAAGCTTTAAGTACTGTTTATCTGATGGTGACAGTTTTGGTGGTCTGCGTGGTCTTGTATGGTTGTTACAAAATCCCATTTTCGCTGTTTCTTTAAAGACTTTTGAAAAGTCCTGTCAACTTTAGTTGTTAGCTTTAATAAAGTTAAATATGATGTGTGTGTGTGTGTGTGTGTGTGTTTGTGTGTGTGTGTGTGTGTGTGTGTGTGTGTGGTAGAGTGTAACTTGGTAGAGGGAGAGGACCATGTAGAGGTGAATGGAGAGGTGTTTCAGAAACCTTTTGTGGAGAAGCCCGTCTCTGCAGAGGACCACAACGTGTACATCTACTATCCAACCTCAGCTGGCGGAGGCAGCCAGCGACTCTTCAGGAAGGTGAATAAATATTACTGGGTTCTGCTTCTTTCAAGTACTTTTGGAATGTGTCTCTGCCTCCATGAGGATGAGTCAAGTGCATTTTATGGCGTAGATTGGGAGCCGCAGCAGCGTGTATTCCCCTGAGAGCACTGTTCGTAAGACTGGATCTTACATTTATGAGGAATTCATGCCTACTGATGGTACGGATGTAAAGGTACGTATTGCTGCTTCTGTGTGTGTGTTAGGGATGTACATTCTGACTAATGTTATATATGGTCCTCAATTAATTCATATAAGGTTATCAGAGTGGTTTTTTTTTTCTGATAATAACAGGTATACACAGTGGGACCTGACTATGCTCATGCAGAAGCTCGGAAGTCCCCTGCTCTGGACGGTAAGGTGGAGAGAGATAGCGAGGGGAAGGAGATCCGATACCCAGTTATGCTCACTGCCATGGAGAAATTAGTGGCTCGAAAAGTGTGTCTGGCCTTCAAGGTGTGTTGTTTTCACCACAGTTTTTAGCAAATATCCACTGTAAAAGTTTGAAACTGAGTTTGCAATATCAATATCTGCTTTTCACAGCAAACAGTGTGCGGTTTTGACCTCCTACGAGCAAATGGACACTCCTTTGTCTGTGATGTAAATGGTTTTAGCTTTGTAAAGAACTCCATGAAATACTATGACGACTGTGCCAAAGTCCTGGGGTAGGTGAGACATCTCATTTTTGATCATTTAAAATACTGAGTCCACCCTATATGTGTTTTAATTTCCCGTCAAAACAATAATTAAGTTTCTCTGCATCAGGAAATAAGCAGCAAACATATATTTAACAGAAAATTGCACAGAAGCCTCAACATTTAAATATAATATCAAATTTTTTGTATTTAGTGTGTCCACTTTTTACCTTAATTACAGCTTCCATTTTGTTCAAAAGACTTGCTTTGGGCTCCCAAGTGGCGCACCCGTCTAAGCGTTGGCCCTATCATCAGGAGATCGCGAGTTCGATCCCTGGTGATGCTACAGCCATCCATGGCCAGGAGTCCAAGAGAGCACAATTGGCCACGCTCTCTGGGTGGGTAGGATGGCCCCCTCTTCTCCCCCCATCACTCAGCACGATGCTAGATCTGGCAGTTGGCGCTTCTGAGCGTGTTCAGCTGTCCAATGACGTTGTGTGACCAGCGGTTCGAAAAGATGCGGTTGCTGGCTTCACAGGTCTCGGAGGAAGCCTGTGTTAGCCTTCGCCTTCCAATCGTTGGTAGTATCATGTGATTGGGGGAGTCCTAACTAGCAGGTGGAATTGGAGACAACTAAATCAGGCAGAAAATTGGGGAAAAATAAAAAAGATTAAAAAATTTTTTTTTAAAAGAAATTTGCAGAGATATTTTTTCACACCTCCAAATTTCAGTCTTAGAAGTTGGTTGTGTTTTCCGCTTCTCATAATCCAAGAATTATCAAGCACATTTAGTGATGTTGTGGTCTGGACGCTGGGGTGGATAGTTCATTGTTTTGAGAACACCATTAGTTTTTGGTTTGGAAACTTAACTTTTAATAATTTTTGAACTCCTATTTTAGAAACTCTTGTTTTCACTTATTTACCTTTAACTTTTCAGCTGTTTTGACTGGAAATTAAATTGCACAGTACTGTATGCTGAATACTGTTGAATACAATTTTCTTTTTTTTCAGATTTTATTACATTTCTTTAAATATCATCCTAACAAAAGACTTTTATATCCAAATATTCATACATAATGCCTAAAAAGCAGAAGCATGCAGCACCTATCTGTAATTGTGGCTTACTCTTGTAATACTGAAATCCCTCCCACAGGAACATGGTAATGCGAGAGCTGGCTCCTCAGTTCCACATACCCTGGTCCATCCCCATGGAAGCGGAGGACATCCCTATAGTCCCCACTACCTCAGGAACCATGTGTGTACAACTCAGTATAGTTTACCCTGTGGCTTCTTTTCATTAGCAGAAACTCAGAGCCTGGCTTAGAAATTCCACAGACTAATAAGTCTCATATACTGTATTGTGTATCTGCCAGGATGGAACTCCGCTGTGTGATTGCTGTGATTCGCCATGGAGATCGCACCCCCAAACAGAAGATGAAGATGGAAGTGAGGAATGCCCTGTAAGTTTCATCTGCTGCATCTAACATCATGCCAGAGCTGTGTGCTGTGCTTTATGTGCCTGACTCCTGCCCTTTTTTCAGGTTCTTTGATCTTTTTGAAAAGTATGGTGGCTACAAAACTGGCAAGCTCAAGCTCAAGAAACCAAAACAGCTTCAGGTGGGTGTAGCTGTTGAGGAAAGTGAGTTCTGATATTTTTGGATCTGTTGGAATCAGTAACAAATGACAAAGCTCCTCTATTTCATGAAGGCTCTGGCTTGTATGTAGCATTTTATAGTACCTGCTTTGGGTTTAGAAGTCTTTGGAAAGCAAACCATAGTAAACTTTGCTTTGTTACTAATATTAAAGACTCACTTACTGCTAGTCATGTGGCATGTTCCTACACTGAAATAGGAAGTATGCTGCAATCCCACTGACCGCTGCGCAAAAGCACATGGATAGTCATGAACATTTACTTATTGTAGATGTACTGCTACTGTAAAGTAATGCATAGTTTAGAATTTTAATGTCTGCATGTTTAATCACATTTGTCTACATAGATACTGTCTAATATGTTACTATGTTTACAGTTGTCAAATATAATTGCCTGAGCTACACAATTACTTACATTTACTTTTATTTATGTTCTATATCAACAGATTTGAGTCTGTACTAACAACTGTTTCCATTTGTTTTAATGTTGATCAGTGACAAAATGTAAAGGATCTTCTTTTCTACAAATTTGGTATTGATTGTGTGCTTCTGACAGAAATGCCCCACTTCTTTCACTGAGTTATGATGTATCAAATTACACCGTTATCACTGGCATTAAAGGCAACTTGTAAGGGTTAAATAAGCATGTCTTCTCGATTTAGTCTCTCCAGGTCAAGTTAAGTCTCAGGGTCAAGTTCAGAAGCGGGAACTTCACTGGATATTTAAGTCAGGGAATGAGTGAGCTGTATCCCTTGGAATGCCTTTAGTTTTCCTAGCCTCTAGAATGTGACCGCTGGGCGACTGTTCAACATATGATATAAACATGTGCTGTTGAGTTGTTTATGATTGAAGTATCCCATATCAAGGTTATCCTGTGTCATTTGGCTCATTTTCCACAGACATATGTGTTTATGAGGAGGCCCGAGAAAAAGTATATTTGGTACCACCCAAAATTAGGGCTATTTCACACTACATGACATGCAGATTCCTGTGCCTTCAACACCTTTCATGCTACACTACTTGCTCAGATGTTCTAGAATTACATGCATCAAATGCAGCACTTTGCATGTCTAAGCTGATATTCCTTGAGACATTATTCTGTATGATTCTACTCTTCTGCGTTACTGTTCTTTGATAACCCACTATTAAAACCATGCTGTGCTTTATCTGTGTCGGTAGGAAGTTCTGGACATTGCCCGTCAGCTTCTAGCTGAATTGGGTCAGCACAATGACTGTGAGATTGAGGAGAAAAAATCCAAACTGGAGCAGCTGAAGACGGTCCTGGAGATGTGAGTACCCTGTCATGAAGGCTAGTACTTAGATTAACATTAACACTGTGATTAAAAATACCTGCTCCACGCAGCACAGCACTTTATTAGTAACACATCCCAGTGTCTCCATTCCTACTTCAATCATTCCTGATCTCCCAGTCACTCTTTTTTCACTCTTTCTCCATGTGTGAACTATGCTGCACTCTCCCTATTGCTGCTCTGGTTCTCTTAATTTTAAATGAAGGCTCTGTGATATTGCAATTATATTGATAGATACTGCAATTGTGATAGACCTCACAATATATTAAAACACTTGGTGTAACATGGTTAATGATCAGCCTCCATTATTTGCGTTGTTTGGATCATATGAATGCGTTGACTCCAAACATCCAGAAGCAGTCATCTGGAACATCTGAGGTCAATTTGGAACAAACAGAACACAGAAAAGCATTTATGATTTGTTAACAGGGCTCATTTAGTCAATGCAAAAGTTTGAACATCCCATGTCAAATTAAATGTTGTTGATTTTCTAAGTGAAAATAAGTTAACACGTCCTCTACAGAGAACAAACCTAAATATGGCATTTTCTACAAATTTTAGTGCAGAATTTCTATTTATTTGATGATCGTTCCTCTTTATTTATGTTGATTTAGGAAAACACATAAAATATAAAATATGCTATATCTTTTGCTATATGTTTTTTCCCCAACATGTGAAATTCAGCAAATTAACAGTTATAAGTGCATTAAATTGTGCAGAAATGTGTTCTCGGTAGAGGATGTGTTAACTTACTTTCACTCAGAAATCAACAAAACATGTAATTTGAACAGGGGTGTCCAGACTTTTGCATACATCTGCACATACTGCAATATTCTACAGTATCAGTTTTGCAATAATGATTGACAAATTTCCTTTCTGGATGAAAGATTTTGACCTCTGTATACAGTCTTAATTTATGAGTTACCATTCTCAATTGTTTAAATATTTTACATTGTCTTGGTTATGCACGATTCATAAATACGCTGTAAAGTCTTTGAAAGTGTAAGTACATTATGAAATATTTAATGTCAAGCACTGTCAGAAGTGATGTTATTTATCAGACATACAGAGAAACAGCCTGATTATGGCAATTTTTGTGACTTGCCACTGCAGTGTCCCCACAGAGTTCAGTTTCTTACATTCATTCCTTTCTTTTTTTTTTCTCTTCCCCTCTGTCTCCATCTCTCTATCTCTACTGGTCACACTCTCCGCAGGGAGTCCAGCCTGAACGATAATCAGTACGCACCTCATGGCCTATGCCTGTAGTAGTGCATTTTTCCCTATGAAGGCCTACACAGAACAGTTATTGTCCTGTAGCCTCTTACACTTTAATGAAGAGTAAATGAGGGCTCCCTGATTACTGTAATGTCAATGGGAGTCCATATATGATGCATGTTGCCCCAGGCGTGTCCTTAATAACTGACTACTCCATCCCTACTTAATCTCCCCACTTCCCCAGCCGATTTAAAATAAGCCACTTTCATAACAAATTGCGCATTAATTGGGATCTTTGATTAACCGTTAACAAATTAATGAAAAGTGCTTTGAGTCAACACTTGACTTTAACCTTATGTGACTGTATTATAACTGTAACCTTTAGGGGACTGCTTTGTTTAAACTGCAGCAACTGAAAAATGCTCTAGAACTAGTTACGAGTCAGTTAGGATAAAGACTGACTCCTAACCAGATAATAGAGCATTTTAACTGACAGCACAGTCAGATGTCTGATAATCAGAAGTAATCAGGCATCTTTCTATTTGTATTTGGCATGTTGCTCTCGGCTGTGACAGTTTTAAACGCCGTTGTTTAAGTTGCCATGTTTCATCCAGAGCATTGAATTGGTCCTTTAAAGTGAACAGCAATGAAAGTTTCCGCTCCAGAATGCTGTGTCACTCAGTACATTGTGTTTTGCAACAAAATGGCATCAAGTGCAGCAGCTGTGCCCTCTTTTATTCCCTCAAAGCCTCTGAGGGCATAGAGCCAGCTCTGGCATGTCCCACATGGCACACATTAACCTCCGCCACTTTGAAAGGTCAACCTGACACATGTTTCTAGAAACATGGCAACCTCAGAGCACCTGCTAGCAAAAGACTATCTGTGCCGTGCCCTCTGGGTGGTGTTTATGTCCAACAGTATTACAGTAGGGGTTGTGCCTGTGTGTCCCATATGTTGTCTTTCAGGTATGGTCATTTCTCTGGGATTAACCGAAAAGTGCAGCTGACCTATCTGCCCAATGGCCAGCCAAAAGCATCAAGCGAGGAGGAAGGTGAATAGCTGCTTTAGACTGAGCAGAAAAGTTTCTCTGTGTACATTTCATGTGAAGCTGGTTCTTTAGGTTTCGATTATAGCAGTGATAAGAGGTAAATAGAGATACATCACTCTATACAAACACACACACACACACACACACACACACACACACACACACACACAATACAAAAATACACATGCCATCCATAGAAGTCCAGGCTAAGGCCCTGCTGCTTGCACGCTGTATGTTGCCTTCGTTCAGAAAACCTTTAAATGTTTAGCATCTTCTCCACTGGACAGTGGTTGACCTGTGGATAAATTAACAAGCAGCAAACTAACAAATCGCTGTTGTCGGAAGAAAATCTCGTATCTCCATTTTTGACATTTTTTCTGTTTTTGACATAATTTGAAAAAACCTGTTGTCCTTTCCATTGTATGTAAATTTCATGATGAATGGACCAAAAGAAATGACCCAAAATGACTTGGAAGAAATTTTGGTTCCATTGACACATTAAAAGTAAAGTAGGTTCTCCTGTAAAGTTACTATTTTGGAGATACAGGAAAGCTCCAGGTATGGCAACCTCTATTGTAACCATTGTAATCTGTAAGCTGTATGGACAAGAGTGAGAGAGAGAGGCTGCAGTCACTGAGAAGTGTGTGTGTGTGTGTGTGTGTGTGTGTGTGTATGTATATATGTATATATATATATATATATATATATATATATATATATATATAAACTAATACTATACAACTACACAAAATACATACACACACATAGTGTGTTTTTTGCATATTTGTCACAATAAAAAGTGTAATACAAGAAAAAGAAAACATGAGGAAACACAAACCACAGTTTTTGCAATTATCATCAAAGTGTAATAACTGGTTGTGCCACCTTTAGCAGCAATAGATGCAACTAAATACTTACCAGTCTTTTACATCACTGTGAAAGAATTTTGGCCCACTCTTCTTAATTCAGCCACGTTGGAGGTCTTTCGAGCATGAACTGTATGACTTTTGTGTTTATGCAGGTTATCTTTGTGTTATATTAAATTTTGTTTGAAAATATGAAACATACGTTCTCACACCATTATGTGTGTCTTTGTATACATATGAGAGGTTCATTCTAAAACACATTATAGACCACTTTCAAGAATTGTCTTTTTTCATGATATGCATTTTTTATGTCTTATACTTTTACTCAAAACAACTAAACTTTGTTGTGCAAAAGTGCAAAGACAATGCACATATTCATATATGTATCATATATATATATACTCATATATTTTTTTCATATATCATATTTTCATATATTCTGTGTTCTGGACGTATGTGTTTGTCAGACTCTCTGAAGGAAGGTCCATCACTACTACTGGTGCTGAAGTGGGGAGGGGAACTGACGCCAGCAGGCCGCGTGCAGGCAGAGGAGCTGGGCCGGGCATTCCGCTGCATGTATCCTGGAGGGCAAGGTACACACAGACAAACATACATAATTAGGCTCAAAGAGAATAATCTGATGCACGTTTTTAAAAACAAATATAATTGTTCACTAGTTCATAAGTTTATTACAGTGTTTAATGATGCTTGTTATCTGAGACATGGTAACAAAGTACGCACAAGAAACACGTGAGCTTGCAGTCCAGATGAGGAATGAGTGCAGTGGCAAACAATGTACACAATCTGGCATTTATATACATTTTTGAAAAAAGATTTGAAATAGTAGCCATTGTTTGAGATCATGAAGCTGCATTAGTGAAACATTAACGTACTGTAGACTTTGAGAGGATCAGATCATCACTATTTAAACGTATAATAGTGAAATGTAAGCATTTTCATTTGATAATCTTTAACAAAGGAAAAAAGGTCATTTTTTCTTCTGCTTCAAATCAGAATACAGACAGTCATGATTTATGAATGTTTGAATATTTGTTTTATTATGAGTATTTTATATTTTTGTGGCGCAGTGTTTTATAAATGAATAACAATCCTTTCTGAAGAACTTTGTGATTCTTCTTTTAATGATATTGCATTCTCAACATACAAACATACCTTTTCCTTCAGAGCTGCATGCATGTCTAGCATCTCCTGCCATGCCCAGTATTGTAAGTGGAAATGGGGTCTTTATTTGCTTTTTTTTTATTTTGCACAGTTTTTGTTAACGCCCTGCGCTTTAGAGTAAACAGGAACTAACCAAGGCCAAATCATTCCCATGTCCTTGCTGAGTCATTTTCTGCTATTTAGAAGAGTGCCACTCTGTACTGCCAGCTGATTTACTCTTCTCTTGCCTTGAATTGTAAACTAGGCAACTGCAGATCCCTTGGCTGTGAGTCCCCTATTGACTGTGGTAAGAAGGGCTTTGGAGAGTGGGAGTGATTTTGATATTGAGCTTCTTTAATACCTCAGCAGTCATCCGACCCAACTAATCGTGTTTGTCACATGTGAATGGTTTTAGGAGATTCGGTGTCTGTGTAGTGTGCAGTGGATTCAGTGATTGGTCTTTATTGGTCTTCATAACTCAGCTGTCATAAAACAGGAATGCCCAGTCCTGGTCCTGTAGATCTCCCACTCTGCAGAATTTTGCCCCAACTCTAATCTAACACAACTGATCCAGGAAATTAAGGCCTTCAGAGTGATTTAAAAATTAGAGCCAGGTGTGTTGGATCTAAACCAGAAGCGTGCTGTTGCACCCCTGGATTTCAAGATTGCAGCTGCTAAAAATAACAATAATATTAAAATGTTCTGAAATTTATAATAATTTGAGTGCAGTACAGCCCTGTGTGCGCTTGTTTTAGAGTGGAGTTTGTATTTTTATATTGTATTCATATATTTTTATATTCTGCAGTAGCCATGCTCCATTTAAGTTGACGCTGTACTTTTATTACAGTGAGCTGTCAAATGTTGACCACTTTGAGTGCATGTCGCTAAAACACATTCAGAATGAGGTGCAAAGAGAGAAAGTCTAAGCAGACTTATAGGCCAGTTCTGAGCCCCAAAGAAGTTTTTTTTAATTAAAGAAAACCATTAACATAATAGTGAATCTTTTTATTTGTCCTGCTCGCTGCGTGTTCCAGTGTTGAATTTCAGCCTGTGAATATGGGCGTGACATAATCGGTTACTGCGCCACATATCAACAATCGGATTGATCACCACTTGGCTCATAAAGTTTGTCCAGAACAAGAGAGCAGGGTGATGATATGCGTCAGCGGTTTGATGTGTCAGTTATATGTATGTATTATGTATATATTTTATCTCTCTTCTCATTGTATGACACATTCTGATGTAAATTAGCAAAAAAAAGTCACATGAGAAAAAGGCAAATCATTTTATATGACACGTCACACATATATGCTACTTAAAATTTCAGCTTCCCCAACTTAAAACCATCCCACATCCCTGATCTCTCCAGGACCAAGATTGAGCACCCCTATCATAAAGCATCGTAAAGCATTGTAAAGCATCATGTAGTTTGTCAAGCGGTGTGATGTACAGGAGATCATTGTTTGTGTTTTGGCTGTTTTACAGTATTAGTTACGCTCATAATCGCCTTTCTTGACAACCAGCAACAAAATCGATCTCATTACTGGAAGTGGGCTCCTGTGTTCAAATAATTGTGTTCATTCTGGAAACTGAGAGTGGCTTGTCAATGTGATTTTTTTTTTTTCATTGTATTCCATGGCTGTGATGTCATGTAACACCCATAACCATCATATCACAAAAATATCTTTCATGCCTTAGGTTTACATGGATTAAACTGGGTGAGTAGTTTGTTCGTAGTTTGTGAGATTTTTTGTTTTGCAGCAAGGCTCTAACTTGTACTAGCAAAAGGATATATAACATCGTACATTAGTTCATTAGCAATGTGTGGGTAAGCACACATCAGAAAAGCTTAAGAGCATATGCAGAACAGCTGGAGTATAATGTTCAGCATTGTGTTTAGTTAGGGCTGGTTTCCTGGTGCTGAGAAGCCATTAACTCTAACTCCCTTTTTGGCTCTTACAGGTGATTATGCTGGTTTCCCTGGTTGTGGATTATTACGTTTACACAGCACCTACCGCCACGACCTCAAGATCTACGCCTCAGACGAAGGCCGTGTCCAGATGACCGCTGCTGCTTTTGCAAAGGTACTTGTTTGTGTGTGTGCATATGAGCTTTTCTGAGTGTTTTTTCAGCATATACTTTACATATCTGGTGTGTGTGTGTGTATAGGGTCTGCTGGCACTGGAAGGCGAGTTGACCCCCATCTTGGTGCAGATGGTGAAGAGTGCCAACATGAACGGCCTGCTGGACAGTGACAGCGACTCGCTCACAGACTGCCAGCAGCGGGTCAAAGCCCGGCTCCATGAGATCATGCAGAAGAACCAGGACTTCACTGAGGAGGCTTACCAAAAGGTACAGCAACTGCAGGCACCAGTGGCTTTCTCTATTTGGACACATCTAGCTAAAGTCTCAGATACAAAACACAACAGTGTTTCCCAATTCTCATCCTGGATGCCCCCTTCCATTTGAGTGTGTTCCCTGCTTTAACAGACCCACTTTTACGCATTAAGACACAGGCCAATTGTGATGGGAGCTGTAATGCATAGGTCTTGTGTCATTCAACCCCAGTGAAACTGAACAGTGTTGTCAGTGGTTGCCCTGTATAACTGCAGATGTTTGAGATGTGCTTGTCTGTCTTAATGTTGTCTGTTCCAGCTGGCCCCAACTGGCAGCCCCTCTTTGGTCAACTCCATGAAAATTATAGGAAATCCTGTCAAGACATGTGACCAGGTTTACGCCCTCATCCAGAGCCTCACTTGTCAGATCCGCAAACGGCTGGAGGACCCCAAATCTGCAAGTGAGTCTTTTAGTTTGTTTCTTTTTTCAGTTTAAGACCCACTGTAAGTACATATGTATATCTACTATAAATTGAGCCTTTACTTTCAGATTTGCAGCTGTATCACAGTGAGACCTTGGAGCTCATGCTGCAGCGATGGTCCAAACTGGAGAGGGACTTCCGCATGAAGAGTGGCCGCTATGACATCAGCAAAATCCCAGATATCTATGATTGTGTGAAGTATGACACACAGCACAACAGCTCTCTCGGCCTGGACAACATGCTGGAACTCTTCCGACTCTCACGGGCGCTTGCTGACATCATTATACCTCAGGTAGAAGAGCTAAGAGATGTTTGTAGTTTTTTTTTTAATCTGTTCTGTGTCTCCTTGATTCATGTCTCTTTCTACCTGTCTGTCCATTTTTATTGTTTGTTACTTTTTTCTTGTGTTTACATTTACACATTTGTTTATTGAGTGACATACAAAATGTGCAAACAGTGGTCATCAAACCAATACTCTAAATCTGTCTTCCTTTCTTTTTTCTTTTGCATCAGGAATATGGCATCAATAAACTGGAGAAACTGGACATTGCCAGTGCCTACTGCCTGCCCCTGATTAAGAAGATCCAGCTGGACCTTCAGAGGACACACGAGGATGAGGCCGTCAACAAGCTGCATCCACTGTGAGCCTCTTTAACAGTCTACAGTATAATATACAGTACACCTTTATTAAGCCCCTTTAGACAATGAGGTTTAGGGGCTGCTCTGTAATACAGAGCAGTGCAACGGAGACCTCTTAAGCAAGCTTGACAAGATTATTAAGCCCTCAAGTCGAGACTGGCTTACTCCTATTCCTGTTCTTTTTCATCATTTTTGGGCTTTTTGTGGTGGTATTTTTTTCAGTTTAGAGGTTTGTTTGTTTTGATGTGTATGTTGTTGATAAAGAACTGGAAGAAGTTGTAAACTCCATATGAACATCTGTGAGTGATCATATTGTGGTTTTATTTCTCCTGGTGGTTCAGGTATTCGCGAGGCGTGATGTCTCCGGGTCGCCATGTGCGGACCCGGCTTTATTTCACCAGCGAGAGTCACGTCCACTCCCTGCTCAGCATCTTCCGCTATGGAGGACTCCTCAATGTTAGTATCAGTCCATTAGATGCTGTGTGCATGTTTGTAACCTTATTTATTCCTGAATGCACATTTTTTTATGTACTTAAGTTCCAGCCATTGATGGTTGCTATTGATAATTAAGGATATAACCGCCATAAGCTGAGGTCCTTATGTTTGGCAGGATTTGGCTTGTTTATACACTTTTTTGCAGGGCTTTGTAAAGCAAAGGCTAAACGGCTTACAAAGTACTGCTATGAAGAGACAGTGCTTTCTTTACCTATGAGATGGAGTAGCACTTATGGAGTAATAAAGATTTTAAGTGTGTTCATGCATTTGCTCTTTAGGAGGAGAAGGACGAGCAGTGGAAGCAGGCCATGGACTACCTCAGTGCTGTAACTGAACTCAACTATATGACTCAGATAGTCATTATGCTGTATGAAGATAACAATAAAGTAAGCTTTTTGTCTACTTACATCTCTGCTAAGTGCTTCTGAATGACATTGCCCTCATTGCCCTCATTATTCTCATTGTGTGTTTGTACGTGGGCAGGATCCGTCTTCAGAGGAGCGTTTCCACGTAGAGCTGCACTTCAGTCCCGGGGTAAAGGGCTGCCAAGATGAGGAGAACGCACCAATGGGCTTTGGATTTCGCCCTGCCTCTGTTGAGGTGTGTGTGTGTGCATGAACTCCAAGAAAATGAGTGTTTACTCAGTACAAATGTTAACTGTGGCTTCTTTCAGGTTCAGTGGCAAGTTTATCATTTTATACTGATGTATTATTCATCCAAATCCACATCATCCTTACTGTGCTCCTTTAAAAATGGTTATGCAAGAATTCTTTCATACAGGTAATGGTTGTATATTGAACCATAAACCCCCAAAACTATTTGGAAGCATAAATTGTTCTTTGCTTGGTTAAATGATTCTTCTTTGTTATGTAAAACCTCTTGTAAATGTTTTAAAAGGTTCTACAAGCACCAAAGCGGGTTCCTCTACTGTAACAAGTCGTAAAATATTTTTGAGTACTATATAGAATAAGTTTTGTTAAGAGTGTAAGAAAAACTTGACCCATTGACTGACAACTTAAATATGTGTTTCTGTTAACATCTTTATCTGACATGACTGTAGAACCAGGAGAAGCAGGAAGACCTCGGTAGTCTGGAGGATTTGTCTGAGGATGAGCCTGATCGAGCTATTCTTACTGAGCCCCTAAGCATCCACAGGAAGTCCCCACTTATTCGCAGTCGCAAAGCTGGCTCCATGGAGGTACTGTTATTCAGCGCAGCCTCTAGACTTGTTTTCATACACACCATGATCTCTCTTGCGGCTAGAGCACCAACCCAGTAAACACCCAGATATTGGGTTTTTCTACCTCTGAGTAAGTGTTGGGAGACCTCCGAATGTTCTCCCCCATTCAAACTGTCCTACATTGTCCTCACCCCATTCAGACTGTTCTAGAATGTTCTCCCCCATTCAAACTGTCCAACATTGTCCTTGTCCCATTCACATTGTTACAGAATGTTCTCTTCCCTTTTACAATGTTCTAGAATGCTCTTCTCTATTCAAATAATGCCCCATTCTCATTGTTCTAAAATGTTCTTCCATTCATAGTAGAATGTTCGCACCCTGTTCATATTGTTCTTGAATATTCTTCCAATACTATTCTAGAATTTTATCTTACATTCACACTGTTCTAGAATGTTCTGCTCCCATTCAAACTGTTCTAGAAAGTTCTCTGTTGACACTATTTTAGTATGATCCCCCATTCATACTGTTCTAGAGTGCTCTCCCTTCATTCACACTGTTCTAGACCATTCTCCTTCCTTCAAACTCTTAGAATAATGCACCATTCTAATTGTTCTAGAATGTTAACCATTCTGATTGTTCAAGAATGTTCTTTCTTCCAGTCACACTGTTCTAGAATGCCCCCCACCATTCATATTGTCCTAGAATGTTCTCCTGCAACCATACTGTTCTAGAGCCCCCATAAAATAATGCCCTATTTCTGATTGTTTTAGAATGTTCTCCCGTTCACTCTGTTTTAGAATGTTCTCACCTTGTTCATGTTGTTCTAGAATGTTCTCCCCATACTATTCTTGAATTTTCTCCTGATTCATACTGTTCTAGAATTTTCTGCCCACATTCAAACTGTTCTACAAAAAAGTTCTCCTATGCTCACACTGTTTTAGCATGATCCCCCAATCACACTGAGTGTTCTCCCTTCGTTCACAATGTTCAGAATGGTCTCCCCCTATTGAAACTGTTTTGGAATTCTTCCCCAATTCAAACTATTCTAGAATGTTCTCCACATGTTTACCTATGTTCATGTGGTTTATCGGCTCCAGTTCTGCAACAGTAAAAATTGGACTGCCAACATTAGAATGTTGGTGTGTGTTTGGGAATGTTGGCTCAGGCCTTTACTGTTTTAGTGAGTTATGTACCGTTACATAATTTGTACATTGTTTTTCGTTGCAGTAGTTATATTTATTAGTATGGTATTGTGACTTTGAAGTAGAAATGGCACAATGCCACATTTATTTTTTCACAATTCGATACCGATAATGATTAAGCATCAGCTCATACTGATCCTGTATTTCTTCTTTTAAGCTTTAAAATTTTTAATGAAGCACTTCACTGAAGATGAGCATTTAAAAGCAAGCTTTGATGCTCAGACTACTCAAACAATGTGCTGGCTCACCGGAAGAATACACAGCTAACAACATCATATGACACAGTATGAGTGAGTGCTGTTTGAGGATAGATTTATTATGATACTGAATCGGATCAATTTAATTTCTTTCAGAGAATGATACCTGGTATCAAATCAGTGCCATCTCTACTTAGAAGTGAAATTTTCCTGCCTGATATAAACAGTGTAGGTTTCTTCAGTCTTTGACATTCGAGATATGGTCAAAAGAGGCAACTTTTTGCGTAATTTAGCTTTTTTTTTTAGTAAATGTAAAAATATGTGTGCACACATTTCCTGTTTCCACAGGTCCTCTCTGAGAGCAGCACATCATCTCGCAATACATCCTATCGCCTGTTTCCCTCGTGTTCCCGCCAGTCTTCTGACATTAAGTCCAGCGGCCTTGGTACGTATCATGTCTCCTCCTCCCCTTGGTTTTCCTTCTCCTTCATATCAGCCACATGCTTCCACACTTGCTCAGGAGTGGCTGTGGTCAAATGACCTCTCTTTGTCCCCTGGATGACCACGCTCCTCAGAATACATTGCCCCTATTTCTTTACGGCACCCATGAGGCCTTACCCAGGCTCCTCTGAAGGCTGTTTAGGTTAGGGTCAGCTCACACTGTGCCCAGTGTGTCTGAAATGCAGTCGTGCTGCCAGTCATGATCTAAATTAGGCTGCTGGCAGCACAGTGCATTCTATTCCTGTCTGTCCTGTTCCCTTCGGAAAAGAACTTTTAAGAGGTGAAACAATGCAAACGGTGCCTTGGATGGTGAACTATTTAATACCTGCAGGGTCTCACTTGCGTGTTCATTGTATAAACCCTCTTCAACTTAAATGTTCCAGGCTGTGTTTAGGCAGAGAGCTTAACAACTGAGAGAAATCAAATGTGTTTTCCCCCTCCATTTTTTAGCTTAATCAGCTTGTGTGCTTAGACAGGCCACTGGCTTGTGGTAATTTGCCTGGTGGTATAAAAGCATAAGATACAACACAATTTAATGTAACTGTCTCACTGAGTTAATTAAACGTGCTGTCTAAACATAGCCGTAGCATTTAAAGTTTAAATCAGGGCTGTTAACTGTGCATGGCCTGTTTGTTTGGGATTCTTTAGTGATGCATCTGGCCTGTCTCTCACACCAGAGTAAAAATAACCGCAACAGCCTGCCTTTGAATCTAGCTGTTAGCGCTTTGGCCTAACAGTGCATGGGGAATGCTGGGAATGTCCTGAGGGGAGGAATGCTTTAAGCACCCTTTGTTACTTTTGAAGCCTCTTGTTTTTAAACCTCTCAGTGTTTGATCTCTTGGCACTGTTATAGTGTCAGTTAGAGAATCACAGTGTACTGTACAATCACACATTGCATTCGATCACTAATTTGTCATTCTGTACATACAGACACCCACATGACCTCCCTGACGAGGGGGTTTCTAGTGGGTGTCCATAGCTTGGTCCAGGGCAGACAAAGGTTGCAAATGGAAGGTGTTTTGCTATTTCTATTAATACCTTCTAGTCCACTCTTCCTCTTTAATAATGTAATTTCTAAGTGCTGTTGTCACCTTTATTTTAATATACAAAATAATCTACAGATCTACTTTACAACTTTTATTTTGCTGTTCTCTTTACCATTTTGAGCAAGCAAACATAGTACTAATGTACAGTTCTGTGCAGAGGCAGAGATCATCATTTATTCATTGAATTACCAAACAAAATGGCCATAAATTACAAGTTATTGATTTTTTGGGAGATATTTCTGAGGAAATTAGATGTACGATAATGAATTTGTGTAAAAAAGGGCAAAGTCAGAGTTTCCCAAACTGGAGTTCAAAAGCTTATTAAAATATATAGAGAAAATATGACCCCTAACAACCTTGCAAGAGCTGGTAGACCACCAAAACTGTCCCCACCTGAGAAACAGTACTTAAAACTTTCATCTTTGAGAGAAAAAAAAATCAAGCTCCACTCTTACTTCAGACCTGAAAATCACTGGTGTTTCTGTCTATACTTCCACTGTGACAAGACAACTCAACATGGGTTTGAAAGTATGTGTAAATATCAAGAAGACGTTAATAAAAAAAAAGGAAATAGACAAAAAATGGCAAATTAAACAAAGCTTCTGTGTAATTTTCTGATAAACAATATGTTTCTGCCGTTTTCTTGATGTGACTGCAAGTAAAGTCTATTTTGACTGGAAAAAAAATAAATAAATGGTGGTCTCTGACTAATGTACAGTACTGTACTTTACACTTCAGTTGCCTTTTATTGTTTCTCCGATGAGACAAATCAATAATAAGCCCTTAGAGATCTGAATTCACTTCTGAATGCATCCAACAATAAAGGCATCATGGTGCTACTTTTTATATAGGGATAGGAAACATGGTAGCACACAAAGCTACGGAGCATGGAACAAAGCTAAAGTATCTAAATGAAGGGCCAGAGAGATCTTATGTAAGATAGGGTTTCCAGTGACCTTGTCACTAGGCATGACGTCCATTGAAGAGACGCTGCATGTTCAATGGTGAAAACTAACCAACCATCGACATTTTCCCTTCTCCCACCCTCCATCTCCACCCTATGGTCTCTGTCAACCCCTCACAGGCTCTCTATGCACGGGCCTCTTCAGCGCCTCTTTCCGGGGGGTGTCCTCCAGTGCCCCTAACCTGCGGGAATTAGCCAGAGCCCAGCGTAAAAAGACCACCTCCCCCAGGAGGTGGTCTAAAAGAGACGGTACGTCCCCTCCCACCCAACATCTTTTGCCGTATGGGCTCTGTGCTGATCAAAAGAGCATAAACAGTTCCACGCCTGTATTCCTGATTAGCTTCTGTTGCTACTGCCAAGTCTGATTTCCCAATCAGTCACCCCTGTCCTGCCTTATTGTTCCCAATTGTTGACCCCCTGCTCTATCCCTATGTCCCTAAATGGACTGTGAGCTTTTGCATAGACCCCAACCCCTGACTGCACTGCTATTCGCACCTCCTTTTCTGGCCTGTTTCTAAAGCTGAGAACAGAACAGGGCCTGAACAGACCAGACAGCTTCAGTTGACCTTGAGCTCCCTGTATCTGTGATTGCTGAAAGTGCACCCCCTACATAACCCTCGATTGCATCTTACAGTTCAGTTCAAAATCACTTTCATTTAGTTCATGATTAATTAATGTCTCATTTATTAATCATTAAAACTTTGTGTTTGATACATTGCATGACAGATTGTTACTGGCAAATCACTTTGTGCCTGCAAGTGAGCAACTGAGTGAATGAGAGTTCATGTCTGTGAGTGTTTTAGCATAACAGTAAGGAAAGAATTTGTTAGTAAAATGATTATTGTTTCATCTCATTGCATTACCTGCTTTTTTTTAAGCCGCACATTAAGCTCCATAAGATGTTTGTTATGCTCCTATGAGTATGTTGGTGATTATACCTAAGCACATCATTTTACCTGTAACAAAAAACCTTTTCATTTTTACTAGTTTCAGAGAATTGTGCAAGTGAATGAAGAGACTAGCTAAACCCAGGAAGACACATCTTTTGAATCTAAGTAGTAATAGCAGTTAGTAGTAGTAATAGCAGTTAGTAGTAGTAATGCAGTTCTTCTCCCCTGTTCCACTTAGATTCATTGCTCCATTTCTGTTTATTCCAGTATATAATGTTTCCATCTTCATTATTATATGCATGGTTAGTATCCTGGTTCTGGCTTCATTTGCAAGCAGGTTGCTACACTCTTGTGCATATTAACAGATTTGTCCACAGGGTGTCACTGTGTACCTAAGACTGGTGACTGCAGCATCTTAGCCCTCTAAAATTAGTGCCATGTCATACTGTTCCTTTGAAAAGGGAGGAATGAGGGGCCTGTTTATGTTATACAACTTCTGGTTTTCTCTTTGTTTATCGTCTTGTCATATGGGCTACATGCGCCATGTACATGTGTCTTTTTTTTTTTTTAGGTGGTTCTATAGAAAATAGGCCATAAATCTGCACCCTTAGTAGTTTATGAGTGTAACCAAAGGTCAATGCTGCAGAATAACATGGCTCACTTCTTTTATTCCCTCAGAGTTGCTCTCAATGCCGGCAGTAAAGCGGTTTTCAGTGTCGTATGCCAGGCATCCGAGTAATGGTATGTCTGTTATTTGAAGCCTGTGTGTTTTGACACTCTACTTGCATGCCCTCTGGGGGTCGTTACGTGATAGTAATTTCTTAGCATCATGATCTTGTGACCATAATTTTGAAATCTTTTGAAACCTGTTTTCTCAACATCTTCCCTCACATCTTTCCTCACCTGTTAAATTTGGATTTGCCACCGTCACCCAGATGGGTCTAATTCTCTCTTTCCTCTGACTCATTCATTCTTCTTCTTCTTCAGCTGGATAGATGCATGTCCTTGAATATTGAATATATCTCTCGTGATATATTTCTTTGTGTGTTCACACATAGTTGTGTACTCAGTGTCATCTGATGGTTAACCCTTCCATCATTGTGCTTCAGGATCATATCCAATGATCAATGCATAAGAAATATGGCCTTTGTATGATTACAGGCAATCTCTTGTAGATGTATCTGATTTTGAAAAGCAATGATTCATTACAAATTATGAGCAAAGCTGAATTTCACGCTCACTGATAATGAAGGCAAGGGTTACCATGCTATCTCACACATCGTAGTTAAATGATGCTGATGAATGTAATCCTCAGAGGCACTGAGGATGGTGGAGTTTAACCACAGCTGATGAGAGAAAGCATGTTGAGTGAGAGAGTGTTTGTGTGCTGAGGGTATTCATGCATTACGGAACAAGCTTGTCACGATTTTTCCATCTGTTGCTGTTTGACTGTATGATTAGCCTTGAAAGCAGTATCTGCAGCAGAGACTCTCCTTGCATAAAGGGACGGTGTGGTGAAGTTACCTTTCTGAGGCTGTCTTGCTCATCTACCTGTTCTTTCATCGTCTGTTCCCAGTTAGTTTGTGTTAAGTCACTTTATATCTACTGTCCAAGGATAGAACTAAATGGGAGTAGTAGGAGAGGCTTTTTGTAAATAATCTATCGGTCACTGCATTCCAAGTTATGGCTCTCTGGGCACCTCTGGATATCCAGCCCAAAAAGGCTTTGCTTATTTTCTTGCTTCAGACTTCCTTTGCTGTATGATCAAGCAGTGTGGCCTATTGTTTTAAAGGAATAGTTTGGTGAGAAACATAGTTTATGCAACGTTCCCCTTTTCTCAGTGTAGTCAAACAGCCAAGATGTGACTTGTATCTGAAATTTGCTTCTTTAGTTTTGCATTGGAGCTATTAGGCTAATGTGCTTAACAAGTAATAGAAGGTTATACCCCACAAATTAGCATCCTGCAAACTGAATGCCTGAATCATCACACACTTGCCTCAAGTTATATGCATTCAAATTTGATCACGACTTGTGACACTTGATGAATTTAGTCAATTCACATCAGTCATTTTAAAATATTCTCGGTATTGGTTCATCATTCTGGACACTAGCATCCTTGCGTCCTACTAATTATGTAAAATTTGTGGAAGTTGTACAGGATTAGCAAATAATCATTTATATACATTTTTCGGTCACCACATTGGATTTATGTTATTAAAAACATTGATTATAAACTTTTATAATCTCAAATAGAATTGCTCATGTAGTCTGACACTGTATGACATATATGTTGTATATATAAATGAGCAAGTAAATTGTGTAAATTAGATTTTTTTTTCCAAACTGCCACTTGAAAGTGGATGAAACTAATTCAGTTTCTTGTCAGGACTGATTTCAGTACTGAGAGCCAGCACTCTACGCTAGACATTTTGGGTGCAGCCCAAAAGTGTGTGGAAAGAGCCAAAGGCAAGTTGTCAACCCATTTTATGTGGTAGTTTGTCAGAAAAGTAGTGAGTACGCCTAAGGGAAATGGAAGTTCAATGTCCATCAGTGTCTTCTGGAGTACCTCCACACTGCACAGTTTTAATTTTTTCACCAATTCAACACACCTGATTCAGCACACAGGGGGCTTGCTAGTTTATGACTTGAGTTGAGTGTTTAGGAGACAGAAAATTGAAAACACTGAACTGTACAGAACTGTGCAGACTTTACAGAGCTGGATTTAAAGAAAACTGGTCTAACATTGCCCTTTGAGTAAAGCATTTAAAGTATTATTGCCTTTATTCCATTAACTATGTATAATCTTTCTTGGAAAGATTTGAAAGGGTAATTCCTCTTGGATAATACGATGCATTTGCTATTGGTTGAAGTTCCATTGTGGTACACAGTAAGGCTGAAAGATTAATCATTTTTTATCAATATTACAATTTGAATTTTTTTCCAAATTGAAATAGCTGCAATATTAATTATAGCCTACATTTATAACAATGTTGTCCCACCAAGTATTAAAGGGGGCATTCAAACAAATAACATGGAGCTGTTAAATTGACCATAGATTAATTAGACCAGTTAGAACAAGAAACCAAGCAGACATGTAGGGTTGGGCAATACTTTATGATGCTTCAAGATTTTTATGATACGCAATACGTATCATAATGTTTAATTTTCTGAGGTTTGATCCAGTTTGGTCCAGAACCAGTTGTAGAGTTGGAGCTGGTCTGTTTTCTTTTAGTACTGAAGTGCTGAAGTGCTTTTCAGAAAAGCATATTGTGTCATAATGTGACATTTTTTATCACAGTAACGATACAGTAACACTTTACTTGAACCCTGCTGTGTCATATTGACTTATCCTTGCCATAAACATGTCATGGCAGATGTCATATGCTGTCATGACGGATTTTGTTCAGTAATTTAACAGTGTAATGCCACCATTACCATTAATTGTCATGACCGGTGCTATAATTTTGATGTAATGACAGTTAGCTAGAGTACACAGCAAAAATGTGACATAAGCTGTCATTACATCAAACATTAAGGCATCTGTTATGACAATACCAGTAATGATAACATGACACTGATATATTACTGAACAAAATCCCAAGACGGCATATGACATTGTCCATGACATGTTTATGGCATGATTATGTCAGTGTTACGTAGCAGAGTTCAAGCAAAGTATTACCAATGGTAAATATCATATTGCCCTCCATTACACCTGTGACAACACAGTAACAGCTAACTGCTTCAGCATTCAAGCTTCGAGCCAGAAAAAGTGGATATTCTGGTGGTCTTGGCCAAAAAAACAGGCCTGGATCTTGATTTATAAAAAATAATCGCAATAAAAAATTGTGGTCACAATATTGGTCAGAAAATTGCAATTAGATATTAGTCCTAATTTGTTCAGCACTAGTATGTGGTCTTTTACAGGCCGAGCTACAATAAATTGTTTTTCTTGTTCTTTGCTTTTCTAGTGAGTGATTTTTTTGAGTGTGCAACATAACCATTGCTGTTTTTAGCATGGCTTTTTCTTCAGCGTATCCTATGAAGCCAGTTCCAAAACACCGTCAAAAGGAACGCGGTGGGAATTTAGTGAAGGGTGCTCTGTCTGTGGGGAGACTGAGTGCAGCCTTCAGTCACATCATTTTATGGGTCACGTCAGGTATCGACTTAAAGTGAGTGAGTGCAAGTTCTAATGCAGGTGCACAGACAACCACAAGCCCATCAAACTTTTGCGTAAAGCTTTTAAGAATCTTATGTAAATTGGGTGCCAAGTTGAACAGTGAGGAAATGAACAGTGTTCTCATCACTGCTAATGCCCCATTCAAAGCTCATTAGGAGGCGGATAGTCTTAATGATATTATATGATGTTAAATAATTTTTTTTTTGCGTTTTACTTTAGAGCTGTGAATTAGGTGTCAGTGCTGAGATGTTTCTGTTTTTAGTTCGGAACAGCTCAGCTGTAGTTGTTAATTTGTCTACTTTGCTGAGTCACTCGACAAATGTCGTCCAAGGCTGCTAAACTGGGCTAGAGGAATATTACTGCTGTGTGCTGCACGGTGGTCACAGGCTCCTCCTCATCTTCCTCATCCATCTCTGCCACAACTCTTTTCCATCTCCCTCTCCTTTGTTTTTCTTCCCTTCTTTCTGAGCCAGTTTCTTTCTTTTCTGAAACTGCAGCCTACCTAAACTCTTTTCTCCTCCTTGTTCCTCTCCTTCCTCTGTCTTTCTTTCCCATTCACTCTTTCCTGCTTATTTCTGCTTTTTCTATCTTTCTCCATTGTTAACCCATCTCTGCACCCTTTTTACCTTTCTAACCCTCTTTCCTCTTATAACCCTTTGCTCTCATTCCCTTATCTGTTTTTTTCTTTTTTTCTGCTTTCTTGTCTTGCTCCCTTTTTAATCCTCTTGTTTCCCCCTTTTCCTTATTCAAATTCATCCTCCTCTCCTGATCTCTTTTTCTCTCCTGAAATAACCTGTCCTTCCTCTTGCTTTTCCTCTTCCCCTCACCTCGTTCTCTCTTTCTCTCCCCTCCCTTCCTCTTTCTCTTTCCCCTCCGTTCCTCCCCTCCTCTTCTCCCTCAGAGGCTGCAGAGGAGGAGCAGCAGGTAGCTGAATTACTGGGTGGTCTCTCAGCTGATCCTGCGTTGACTCATCACCTCCATCGCTGCTCCTACCACCTCCGCCTCTTCACTGCTTGGCTACGTTCCCACCCAGAGCCGCCCGACTGTTTTTCCGGTCAGAAACCTATGGAGAAGATTCCCCATCCAAGAGTATGCAGGAATCATGCCACATTGACAGCCCTCTGCTGAACTCAAGTCACAAATCTGATCTTGGATCAGCATTTATGGGCAACTACACATTTATTGTTTACTAGACCATAAATGTTTTGGCTTTGCAATGGCACCGTAGCAGACAGACAGGATAAAAAGCTTCTCAAGCCGATTAGATAGCTGTACTCGTCTCTGCTTAAGAAGCGTTCAAAAAAAGCCAAAAAATTCCATGTTATAAAAGTACAATATGGAAAAAATTCCATGTTATAAAAGTACAACATTTGAAACAAAAGCTGTGATTTATGTTGTCTAACACTCTAGCCCAGGGGTGTCCAGTCTTGGCCACAAAGGGCCAAATGGGGTGCAGGTTTTCATTTCAAAAAAGCAGAAGAACACATGATCAGCTGTTGAAGACTGAGACCAGTTGATTAAACAAGTGGAATCAGGAGTGCTTCTGTCTAATTGGAATGAAAACCTTTGTGAATAACATTGGACACCCCTGCTGTAGCCACAAGCTAATATGTTATCCCCAACATAACACACTAACCACAAGCTAACCTGCTAGTCACAATACAAAAAAATGCAGCAATACAATTGAATACAGTATGATACATTGCACTGTTACTTCCCTACCAGCTAGCTAAAATTAATCCTTCAAAAAACAGCATCACAACAAAGACACAACTACATCTAGGCATGTAGCTGGCTTGCCTTGGTTTAAGCAATAAAATGCATGCCACAAATCTGATCTGGGATCAGTGTTCAGGCAACCTTGTCCAAAGAACATCCTTCCAAAAACAATCACACTCTCAAGTTCAGCAGAGGCCTTGAGTGGACAGTGATTCCTGCACTCTCTTGAAGGAAATGCAATGAAGACTGTGGAGTCATATAAAGAAATGCAAAGATGTATTTAGCATTTAGTTTTGTGCCATTGAAAGCACCACACAGTGAAAGCAATGTAGTGTGAATTACAATCACTTTAATAATCACAAATTATTATTATAATAGATTATTATTATTATACAAGATATTTAATACTTAAAAAGCAAACTGTATTTTCAGTCAAGAGAAAAAGTGACATCACAACAAATAATGAAGGTTTTGCTTTACACTTTGGCATGTTTTTTACATATCACTAATGTAAAGTAATGTCATTTTGCTGTTACCACTTCCATAGGATCTTGCATGGAATTTTCTTCATAGCTCCCCATCACAATTTCTACTTGCTGTTATGTTTCCATCCCTGCTCTCTGGCCTTTGTGCCTTAGGAAAAAAATAAGGACATTTCTAGCATGTCTTCGGGGCTGCTACTGGCATCGCTGCATTATGCACTCACTGTCTGTTTTTGTTCTCTTTCTCTTTTTAAACATATTGTATTAGTATGTTCATTTTTGTGCTACTTGGATTTTCTCGCTGCTTGCCAGAGAGTATGTATGTGTGAAGTTGGCATACGGTGATGCATCCCATAAAGGAAAACAAATCTTAGTGGAACCTTCATGCTCTGGTTGAGTTTGCCTAATAAAAGCAATCTTAGCACAGAAAACAGAGCCAGTCCACTTAACATGGAAAAAGCTGTACGGGTGATCCTTGCAAAGGATGGCAAAGCCATGAGTCCATATCAAAGCAGTGAATTTCATCACACAGTTTATACCTTGGAGCTAAAACAGGTTGTGCCCAATACACAAGAGTTTTAGTATAGATTGCGGTATAGTGTACAGCAGCTTATCTGGGCATGGCAAATATGGTACTACATGTTTTGTGTCTGAATTTATCAAGTCATTTGTTTCATATGTACGACAATGCTTGAATATGGCAAATATAAGAAGTTATTCACGCTACCAGTACCAGAACTTTGACTTGTTACAAGCACCAGTCCTCAAAACTGCATTGTCATCCGATGCAGGTGATGAAGGTTGCAGCACTGCAGGCTTTATGAGAGGAAACAGAAGTGCAGAAAGTGGTCTTACGTCCATGGCAGAATGAGCGTGCGCATCTTTGTGGCCACTTTTTACCCGTCTTCTAATGGCCACTTCTAGCATGATGATGCACATTTATCATTAAGCACAATAATGAGTTCAGTGTGCTTCAGTGCCCTCCCCACTCACCCTATCTGAATCCAATAGAGCAACTTTAGGATATGATACAGCTGGAGATTAATTGCCTGGGTGTGCAGCTGACAAATCAGCAGCAGTTACGTGATGTGATCATGTCAACATGAACCAGAATCTCTAAGATACTTTTTCAGCATCTTTTTGAATCCATGCCTTGAAGAATTCCTGGGGTCCTGCCCAGTATTAGAATGGTGTTCCTAATAAAGTGGCCAACGTGCAGGAATTTAGGAGGGAACTGTACAGTTCTTAATGTCCATAGACCCAGCTGATGTAAAAAAGCTGCCCAAGCATTGTAGCATCGTAAATACGCTCAGTTTAGACTGTTTACTTTCCTGCATCGTCTCCGACTCCCCTCCTCTCCCTTTCTCTCTCATTCATTTTCAGCCTGTCATGCTCCCTCCATCTGTTTTCCTCTCACTTCTCCTCCCTCTGCTTCACTCTCTCCTCCATGTAAATGAACAGGGAATGCTGCAGTCTAATAGAGTGGAGTTTTCTCAGCTGCAATCGGGATGTGAGCTGAATCAGAAAACCTTAGAATTTGAAAGAAGATACTATTAAAGAGCTTGTGAGAACTGAAAATTGGAAGATTTTCCTTAAAATACCCAAAGTGCCTATCCTTCGCTGTGCTTATTGAAGTCTACACACATCTACTAGTATTCTCTGCTTTGGATTTTGAATGAAAGAGGCTGTGACTTCCCTGCCCTTCAGGATATCTCAGTTTTCTTCCCTTTCAAACAACACCTCTCTTCCCTCCTTGTCAACACGTCATCATTTAGAGCAGCAGGTACTGTCCGCCTCCACTAATTCCTGCTGGCTTGCACCGAAAACAGAGTGAAATCATCTTAACACACCACATTATGTACAGTGACATAACACTTTGGGGAGCTTTCAGAGTAATAACCCTTTTAAATGCCCTAAATTGGTGCATTAGTCACTCAAGCTGTTTGTCAGTGCACAAAGCCCTGCAGTTATTCCGATGCTGTAAGGCTTACGATGCTTTTTGGTCTCAGACGTCTGCACGGCAGAGATTTTGCCAGTGTGCATTAAATGAGGAAATTTGAGTGTAGAACATGCAACGATTGACCTTGGTAATAGGAGGTGTGAGTGCGTATAAGCTAAGGAGACTGAGATGCATCTCTTTTGTATTCTGTTGAGGTTCTGCTGAATTCTGTTGAGCTGTTTTGTTGTGACAGCACACCGAATGTTTGTTGTTTTTGGGCTGCACTGAGGTAGACTGCTTTACTTTCTTGGAACTCGTGTGGGTGGTAAATGTCCACATAAAGCACTGCCCTATGCCTGGGAATGGCATTTGAGACTGATTGCAATATAAAAGGTTGTTGAATGGCATGTTCTCCATGCAGTGCCTTCAGGTTGTTTGAGGTGCTTTCTACACATGTGTCAAACAACAAGAACAACAGCTGCAGTGGAGCATGAAATTACCACAAAGGTGTGTTTTGGACTGCATGTTTGTTTTTCTGTGTCGTTTCTGTGCTGCAGGGTTTGAAGGCTGCTCCATGGTGCCCTCTATCTACCCGCTGGAGACACTGCACAACTCACTGTCACTGAAGCAGGTGGACGAGTTCCTCAACAAAGTGTGTGAAAGCAGGAGTGAGACTCTCACTAAGACTTTGAAATGTAGGTAAATAAACACCCCACACACACATGCATGACATACTTCTTGTTTTGGAAAATTGTTTGTGAAGTTGTTTTCATTCCATCTCCTCTTCGAGCGATCTGTTTGAGTTTAAACCCTGTTAAAGGAATTGCTTGGCTAAACATCAGATTGACTGTGTTTTTCCCCTTCTCTCAAATGCTCTTCCAGCATGATCTTGCAAGACTTCTGATGTTTTCTTCTTTTGCTTTGGAGCTAATGTAGCTAACAAATATAGACTGGCTTCTGTTGTTACTAATACTGTATGACAAACTGTTAAAATCTCAAAGCCTGAATTCTGAATAAGCTTTTCTCCATTTCTATGGACAACAGTACATCATACAATATCAGAAACCACATAGGCAAGTCTATTGGAGATTACCTAATGTGATTTCAGTAATTCATTGGTTAAGTTGTATTCAGAGTGGCTTGATCTGAAATGGTTCATTGTAGAGAAACTTACCGTCTCAGATTTTGTTTACAATGGTGGTGGTAGGAACCAGAGGTCACAACGGGTGTAATACAAATATAACTGTTTATTTACTGTCCAAAACCACCAGTAGGCTCACAAGACTAAGTGTGTCTTCTGAGTTTTGTTGTGTTGATAATGGTGCAGTAGTGGTATATCTGAAGAAATAAATGCACTTTGGGTACTGTTTTGCCTTACACAACCCTGTATGCATCTTGTGTTTTAAAATGTTTTAGACTAAAAGCTTTCCTCAAAACTATTGTAAAACTCATATGTGTCTCATATACCAGACTGAGTATTCATAACCATTTCATATAATAATGTCCTGTGAAGTAGCTTTTAGAAGCATTAGAGACTTCAGAAGACTGCTTTCTGTCACCGCTGCTGTGAAAAATTTTGACTCTCTAAGTTTCTCTAGTCCCCCATCCAACCACCCTATCTCAGGACTCTCCATCAAGTTATACTGTCTCTGGGCTGGAGGAGCCAGCCTTCAGCCTGGAGACAGCTGTGCTCCAAAATATCCAGCATTCTTGACTGTCTGCCACAGACACACACACAGAGGCCATTTTGTGCAGGCCTTAAACTGTCAGACACTTAACACATGGTCTCATCATGTTTCAAAAGGGGCAGTATGCCATTAATTAATCCCAAAGTAGGACCCACCTAATTAGCAATCCCCTAGCATTGCACTCCGACAGTTGGCTAGCTGCTTTTAGGTTTTTAGCGTCTCCTGCAAGTCATGTTATGGTTCATTTTTGCTGTGTGATGTCTGTAAAGATGTTTTAGCATCTGCCCTCTCAGACATGTGGCAAATCTAGGTTGCCTCACGCATGTACCATTGCTTTCTCTAACTCCTCTTAACCCATTTACCGTGATCCCTTTGTTTCAGAGTAAAACCAGGAACACGCTTGAGGATACGAGTGTCCCACAGATTAGAATAGTGGAATTGTTTTAACTGCCATAACTTTAGCTGTTGTATTTCCCCGTCGGGGTTCTCTTTTTAGGCTAATAAGACTGTTTTGTAAGATATACTATAAACATGTGAGATGTACTGTTAACCGAGTTAAAAAGGCCAATGGTGGCATGTGCATCCTGGAGCAATTTAAGAATGATTAAAGGGGAACTTCACTATTTCTTCCAAAATTACAGCAAAATTTAATGGTTAAGATGTAAACAAAGTTGGTCAGGACAGTTTCAGTGTAGAGAAACTTGCAGAGTCACAGCTGTTCACAGTGGTGGAGTGGTAGTGATTGGCACCAGACTTCTGAAGTATTTAATACTTCTAAAGGCTGCATCACATATTATTACATGAAATAGTTATGAATATGCTGACTGAGACATTGTTTTACGATAGTTATGATACGATTTTGACCTATATTGTATTTTGTTATATTCACTCATGCTAGAGAGGCAAAATAATCACCCAAAAAAGTAATTTTTCTGATTTATCACTATTTCACTTTTCTCATCTTTACATATGAGAATTCAGGGGATACATGTGGGTTACTGGCTGTTTCAAGTAGTAAATAAATGGCTATATTTGCGACCCATTTCCTTTTGCTACCACTGTGAAGAAATCATAATCAGTTTCTCTACAATTATCTGTTTCACATCAAAGCACTCTGAATTACTTTCTTTACAGCTCAATGATTGAACTACGCTGGAAAAAAAACAGTGGAATTCCCCTTTAATTAACCTGTTTATACAGTGGAAATTGTGTATTGTAGGGTGTTTGAGTGACTAATTGTGCATGTGTTTGTGTCTGTCTCTGTCTGTAGACACCGGTGGTCACCCTGGCACTGTGTCCAGTTTGGAACATTCATCTCCAGCAGCAGCAGAGTCAATCAAACTTTGGTTTCAACAGTGAATAAATCTTACACGCTGCAGCTGCATTAATCTCACATCACCTCTTTATGCTCATCTGAGCTTTACATTGTCTTTCATAGGTGAAGCTAATTCCAAGGGAACAGTGTCTTCATGAAGCCCACATTGAGGCTGCTGATTGCACTTGCTGTATTTCTTCCAGTAATGTAGAGCCTCTTTGGCTTCAGAACAAGAGCATTACTTGGGCTGTCAGCCATCAAAGAAAGAGCACTGAATCCAGTAATTAGTTAGCACTGCTATACCTCTGTGCCCAAAGGACTGAGATCTTAATTATAGTCCATTCTGAGCAGTATGAAGATAAGAGGACTGGAATACACACTAGTAATTGTCCCTTCTCTCAGCTGATTACACTTATCGCATCCCCACTTGCAGCAGAGTAGTTTCATTGGAGAACATAACGTCACTCTGAGCCAAGCAACACTCAAAAGATGCGGGTAAACCAATCACAGCACAGTGTTGTTGAGCTTAGAGAGGCTGTGTGGAGGTGTTGATGTCTCCTACTTTAGCACTCACATACTGAGTCATGATGCCAGTCAGTACATGAAAGCAGAAAGTCTGCTACAGCCAGTTGATCAAGCACAATTTTTTTAATCACTGCCTCTGTATTTTATGGGGTTTAACTTTTAATGTTTTTAGTTTAGAATTACAAAACTTGTTTTAACAAGAGAGGAAGACTTGAAATTGACAAATTAAATTATTCATAAGTATGATAACAATATTTGAAAATGTACTTTGGATGACAACAGTGCCTTAGCCCTAATGTTTGCTTTTTTGCCCATTTTTTTGGCTTGTTTTTCTCTTTACAGGCAGTTCATACATAAACCTCTTCAGAGCATATTGAAGCGCTCTGCCAGAGTCCTTGAGGGCTAGTCAAGAATGTTTAAATATTTGTGATCTGCTGTCCCTGCCAAAGGATTACTGTGTTCTAATTGAATGTATTTAATTTTAGAGATTTCCAAGATTATATATTTTATTAATAAAATTGCGTGTAAAGATTATAATTGGCTTTATTTGTTTGAGTTAAAAAGTACAATAATCTTGAAAGTTCTTGTGAATGAACAACAATCTGAATAAATTATGCTGGCAACCAATAATAATATTCTGTTAGGCATCATATTAAGTCTGACATTGTCATTCTTCCAGACTTAATACTGCGGTTCTGAATCTGCGTCTAGGTTTCATTCAGGACGACGAAAAACACTAATGATGACTCATGCTTTGCCCTTAGCTGTGCTGCGTTGCTATGGTGATGGATTCTGATCGCCCATTGACTTCTGCTGTGAAAGCCTGGCTGAACTAGCGACTGCATAATGTAGCAGAGAGAGACAGAGAGAATTTATTCTGAGTAAGTCACTTTCAGACTTCGACAGGAAGCCAAACAGTGATGTCATTATGGCCGCTTTGCCCATTTTCTGTCAGTGAGGGGTAAAAATTTGCCAAAAGGTCACTGAATTGTTTCCCACAGACATTTGATATGTCTGTATTGTGTCCCAATTGAAAAGCAAGTCAATAGAATTCAAATGTAATTCATTTGTTGTGCCACATTTGAATTATCTATTATGCAGGAATAGCATTTGCTAATATCAGATGTTTATGCACCCAGCAGAATTGGAGGCAGATCACCAGTGACAGAAATCAGATTGTCAGAAAACACTGCTATTAGAAGCTTGGCCTTGTCACTCCTCTCAGAACCCTCTCCAACACAGTGCAATATGTACTGTCATTGCAAATGCTTGTAGTAAAGTAGTATGCAGTTGAGGTTATGTGAGTTGGCAAAGTGGTCTGTGTGTCCTCACTGCCCAAACAGTGGACTAACTGCCTGGCTGTGACTTCTGCCAGTCGCTCTCAGCTGTATCTGGCAACCCTGTCACTTCTGTTTGGCTGCTCAGTTGACATAAGCTGGAATGACAGTCAGTTTTCTAGTGATTGCAGTCATATCATTGCTGTTGCATCTTCAGAGTTATGTTTAAACTTGATTTTGAAAAAGCAGAAAAGCAGAATTAGTATCTAGAATCTAAAAGGTCTAATAATCACTGAGATCAACAAAGTAGAATTTCAGCATATGAGTTTTTTATTGATGATCACCAGGATTGTTCCCTTTTACAGTAAATCAGCAGAAATCTACGTTTGCATTTAGAGTTGAAAGAGATCATATGGAATATTGCACTAAAGAAGAACAGAACTAAGATTCATACAGCGGCAAAAAACAAGAACTATCACAGCGTCTTCTCAACAACATCTTAGGGCAAACAGAAGCAAAGCCCAATAATATGCATATTTCAGTACTATTAAGACAATTAGCTTGTTCAAATATACCTTTTTAAAATAGTATTTTTGTTTAATTCAGTTATTAAACAAGTACATTCAGGATTATAACTAATAAGATCACATGCAGAAATTGATGCATTGGCATGACGTATGGGCAAATGAATCCATTCTTTTCTGAGCATGGGACTCAGGAGGATGAAACTGAAATAAAAGGGGAGGTACCTTTTGGTGACATTTTTGCTTGTTGAGAAGGAGAATTACACAGATGCTAGGTTGTTCCGAAATGAAAACGGTTCACAAGAATAAGTTTGTATCACCTAGTTTGATTGGTATGTACAAGTCTATGTAAGTACAGGAGTTGTACCGTTCTTTTGTCTTCTTTCACATTTCAAGTCATATTCAGGAGAAGAAAACCTCGCAACTGTAGTTTGTACAGTTTTCAGTTGTGGGGCAGCCCTCTGCAAATCATTTTTTTCAGTTTTCTATCAGTAAGACAGCAACATCAGCATTGAAATCAGCAATATTCGAATGAGACTACAGTAATTCTTTGACAAATCGCTCACGTATAAATATCTCAGTCTTTCTCTGCAACCGTTTCTATCACTATGCCAAGTGCATATTAGCTAGTTCTTTGTTTTGTTCAAGCAGCATCCAGCAAAGCAACTTATACATTCAATAATATTAAGTTAGTGCATTCGTTACTTACACAGAGTTCTGTGTACAGCAATCACAGCTAATCAACAAGACCAGACAGTTCTTGTTAATAAGGCCAAACATTAAAATATATCCATACCTTTGGACATACAGTACGAGATCCCATTTTAGCATAGTCTTCTATCAAAAATACATTTTGTCCTTAGTGTTTGTTTATGTTGTGAAGAGTAGAGAGCATTTTCAGTCAATTTGTTTATTGGCTCACTTCATTTTTTGAAGGCCTAGAGGTAATTCCATTGCTTTGGCCACTCTGAACTTTCCACAGCTAACCTTGTGCGTTCACAGCTAAGAGGAATACAATGAGACCCTGCTGCTGAAAACATATCGAAAATATCCTTTCAAAAAGCAAATTCAAATGACAACTGAAATGCCTAACAGTGAATCAGACACCTCTGAATAACCAATTAAGACATAAACTGAGCAGGCTCACTTGGCTGCTTGGGCTAAAGACCTTGTACCTGTGTAAACAGCTATGTTTCAGCAAAGGAAATGGCACAGCCTATTTACCACAAAAAGAATTCATTCATTCGTGAGCAGCAGCGGGTTTACAAGATTACTATGACTAAAGTGTGGCTAGCTGTATGTCACAGAGTGCAGGACAATGCAATAGCACTAAGAACTTCTTTCATATACAGTCACAGTCTTGCTCTCAGTCCAATCTGCATACGGCAAAGATAGTAAGAAATATCATAGTTTAAAATAAGACAAATTCTCGCTGGCTTTTTAAAATGTTATTAACAGACTGAATAAAAAGAAACAGGCATTGTGTATTATGATTTAGAAAGTTAAATATGTAAATTATGAAGACAAAATCAACAAACCAATGTCAAAATGTGTTAATACTGTAAAATAAATCTCACAAAATGTATTAAGGTATGCTATAGAACACATAATTCAAAGTATTTTATATTTTGTGGTTCGAAACGTGTTCTAGTGATCAAGATTATTCATAGTCAGTTCTTCACTGAAATCACTCAATTGAATGTAACCATTGGATGTTAGTTCCTCTGTTTGACAGACATACAAGATAATACATTTGAGACATTGTACTAGATTCAATCAACCACATTCCATTAAAGCTTCAGTACATAACAGGAATACCTCCAGATAATTAATACGTTTGCAATTCTTTGAAATAAATTAATTATTTGTTATTTACCTAAATATTTACATGCAGTGTAACCATCTATACACCTTGCTTGTATGGCTCCTTTTCAGTCTTCAAAACTGCTACCACACTTAATGCAAAATTATCCCAGACCTCAGTTTGGGACAACACTTTAGAATAGGGGACAATTCATTCTGTATTACTGTACATATATAAGGCTACTAAGGACTCATCATTAACATCTGGATACTGTTCAAAAGCACATCAGCTCTATTAATCATCTTCCACACTATTTAAAGTGCTTCTGCATTTTTTTCTGTAAACTATTTAGTCATATTTAGACAGTTAATGCAGAAGGCACATGAGGGGACCCTTGCTCTCTGCTTATGCAGTGTATAGGCTAAATAATGCACACTTATTCTTGAAGCTGTCATTTACATTTACATCTACAAACATGTCTGTACTGCTACATGCACCACTGAAAATGAATGCCATTCAATTTAATTTGTAATGCTTTGTTGTTTTTATTGTTTGTTTGTTTTAAATAACCTTTAAATGTCACCTCAGAAAATCTAAAAAAAAAAAGAAAACTGTGCTGACAATTTAACTATCACGACACCCTTGAACTCAAAACTTCGGTCTATGAATTCTCTACTGTAAAACATATCTCTTATTTCAGCATGTACAAGCCCTCTGACTAGTACCCTTGATGCCGTTATGAAAATTACTGCAGCCAGACTACTGACCTTGTCCAAGTCCTAGAAAATCATATTACTGCCAATGAACTATCATAAACTCTATCTGACTTAATATGTAGATGGTCAAGTAAATGACAGACGATACACGGTAAGGTAGCTGCCCTAGCTATTAGTCTGTATGAATTCACAAAGACTGTTCTGATCATTAAAGCAGAGCCCTCGATCGCTGTACCTCTTAGGAGAAGCCTGAGCTGCACAAGCATCATGCTTTAGTTGAACTAAATATAATACCAATCACTGAGGAGATCCCCTTTTAACATTGCTATCTAATTTAGGTTCTTTACAGAATGCTACACACAAGCTGCACTGACTGGTTCTTGACCCTTTTGCATCAGCCACTATGAGTACACAAGAGCCCAGTCAGCAAAAACAACACTGAGCTGCTGGTATATGTCATCTACAGTGCCATATTCTTAAAGGCACATACAGACATATACAGCCACCAGTAATGCCACACTGCTAAGATAATTGAGCAGATGAAAATGTTTCCTTAAGGACACAGATTTTGGATTTTTATAGGATCTGTATAGATTCTGTTAATTGACAATACACGATTTAGATTTGGCACTTACATATCCTTTGTAGTAGCATCTGTTAGCTTGTTTGTTGGTTTGTCTGCTTGCTTACTTTCGCTGGTATGTGTACAGTATGTGCCTTTTCAGAATAGTGTGATTTAAGTCTCCTGTGGTAGAACTTTATATTCACAGCCATTATACCTGACCATCAGCCACAACACGGTTAAAGACATTTTCTAGACTATCACCGTAATGATTTTTCAAAGAGCATGTTATTAGTCCTCTCGAAAAGAAAATACACTCCTATATTCATAGTTTGTTTTCCTAGATTGAGGTTAGAGTAAATGTTTACCGAGGCATGCTAACATTCATAATGAAGAAAGAAGGGAAAGGATGAGGTATGCTATTAAAAAAATTGCAGAGGATATTTTTTGTGCTTCAAATTGAAATTTAGGTCAAGGCATTTGAACATGAATACTTGTCTCTTAAAGATATCACCATTGAGAATACAAGTAAACTAAATGTGCAACAAACCTCAGCTTATGCTAGCTCATACAGCGTCTAGTAATTCAAATTCTTCGCCTAAGCCTTGCAGACACAATCAAATAACACGTAGGTGTGAATCAGGAGTCTAAACCAAAGCTTATAAGGCCTTGTTTGACAGCACTAGGATCTGTTGCCGTTGCAGGCTAAGATACAAACTATAAATGGCAGTCGATGGAATGCAAGGCTGTGGGTGGTAAAGAATACACCATCTAAATCTTAAGGAATGATGAGAAATGAATGTGTCTCTAAATAAAAACCTGCCTAAAATTCAATTTTGCAGGCAGGGAAAGACTCATCCTGCATGACCACTGTGCTGCTGCTGGCCAGGACCATTATGTTCAGATCCTGCTGCTTCTCATGAGTCTGCTGATACCAGTCACGAGTCACCTCTGTGTCATGGGTAGGGATCAGGGTTACCTATAGAAGGAAAATGTAATCACTGATGGATCTCTGTTGAAAAGTAGATGTTCATCAATGATAGATGCCCACTGATAAATCGGTTAAATGGTTTGACTTCAAAAAACACTGCACAAAATGATATCTTGGCAAGTGAAAACATCTTAAAACTTGGTAATATACTGCTGCTGTCGGAACAAAACCTTGTATCTCCAAAATGATAACTTTACAGGAGAAGGGAAAAAAACTGCTTTTAATATACGTCACTGGAACCAGACTTTTTCCAAGTCAGTTTAGTCCCTTTCTTTTGGTCATTTCATCATGTACTGCTCAATGTAAAGGGCAATGGGCATTTCCAAATTTTGTCAAAAACTGAAAAACGACAAAAATGGAGATACAAGGTTTTGTTCCGACAGGTGAGATGTCTAATACATTTATATTATTCAAACTTTTTTTTCATTGTTCCTTGTTTGAAGCAAATTTGTCCAGTGAAATTGTCTTAATCTATTGGCAAATAAGTTTGCCTGTTTCAAGACATAACACAGATCGTGAAATGAAACTAGCAAAATGATCATACAGAATAACGATTTCACAAGACTAAATGACTTGAAACAAGTGGTTTTTACTTTTTTCAATACACTTATAATATTATTATTACTCTTAAAATGAGTTATATTAAAATTTAAAAACTAGATGCCACTTGCCAAGATATACTTTTTTGCAGTGTGTGGAGTATAAGAGGCCTATGTGAATTTAACAGTGATTCTTGATAGAGAAATGTATGTGCACAGAGTACCTGTAGATTGGTTCCCCACTGTGCTTTGCCTTCAAGCAGTGCGTCCAGAACTGCACGGCTAGGTTCTCCACTGCCTGGGTCATTCCCGCTCACTACATAGTATGCAGCGCGCACCCGCTTGAAAAATTCTTGGTCAACATTTTTAGCACTGCAGTGATTTGGAATGTAGGCAAGGTCAACATAGAAAGGTGGTCCAGGCGGAACACCAGAATTGGACTTCTGATTGGAACCTGAAGGGCCAAAAGGTTAGGTTACGTTTTTATATCAATCACTAACACTAATTTTCTGGGCTGCAACAATGAGAAAGCATACCTGTATTGCTCTTTACACCATTGACAAGCCCTTTTCCTGAATAGCTCTCTCCTTTAGAGCCTGTTGTCTCAGACATTCGAGACAGCCGGAGTGTCCTCTCAGAATCTAGTCTTTTAAGAGAAGGAGCGCGAGGCGAGGAGTCTTTGGATGCCTGTTTTACAGGTGTTGTGGACCTTCTGCTCCTAGCATCGCCTTTACGTGCTGGAGATGCAGACTTTGGCTTCCCCAAGGTCTTCCTTAACCCCTTTGTTGGTTTTAAGGTCTTTCTTGATGGGTCGCTCTGTGTGGGTTTGCCCATTGAGAAGAGCTTCTGGATCCACCATGCACACATCTGGGTGGGGAGGTTGAGGGACAGGGTCTTTCATTGGGGCCGGTGGAGGATCATGGCTCCTCGGAGAGGATGAGCGATGACCACTGGTTGCTGTGGTAGAAGTTTTGTCAACTGGTAGGTGCTCTGCATCTTCATCTGAGTCAAGGTTTCCTTCAGCTGTGATGGATGGACACTCCTCGGTCTCAGGTGGCACGTCTGAGTCAGACTGAGAAGGAAGTGACTCACTTAGAGAGGTGGGAGGAGTTTCTTCTCCTCCTGCAAGTGATACTCCATGTCCAGTTGCCATGGCACTAGAAGGGGCATGCGTTCCCTCTTTACTGTCTCCATGGGAGCTGTGGGCATGGTGACGCTGCTGTTTGTGAGATCTCCTCTTAACAGAGTGCTGTTCACGTTCATCGTCAAAATCATCCTCCCTTGAGCAGTCACTTCTGCCATCCTCCTCTCCCTCCTCACTGGATAAATGATGCGGGCTTGGGTTAATAAACGATGGGGAAAGTTCTCCTTTGCAGTGTTTGTATAATGGAGGTGAGCAAGAGGAGCTGGCCTCCATGCAGAGATCAGAAGGTCGAGTAAAATCCTCCTCTGACATTTTGGATGGCTGAGAGGACGAGGTCTGTTCACTTGATGAAACTGATGCAACTACAGTTTGATCTTTTTGCTCTTTTGAGACATACTTCAAGAGCTCTCCCTCAACTCCCTTCACTTCCATTTGTTCACAAACATCCTCTTCATCACCAGATGTTGCTCTCAAGCATGTAACAGTCTCCTGCCTTGTTTCAGAAGCAGATGTGCTTTTTTGAAACGACTGCTGTGCATCTGTTTTCTTGGTATCTTTTTCTGGCAACTCTGCTTTCAGTGGTTCCTTCCTCTCCTCTGTCTTTTCTTTAGACATTACATCAACCATTTCTTTGCGCTCTTCCTCGCCCTTTTCTCTCAGAGCTTCAACTTGTAGCTCTTGCCCCTTCACTTCAGTATCAATCTTTTCATGTTCCACTTTTTCATCCTTCGGTCTCTGTTCTTCCCCTGTTTTCTTTTTGACCTCCTCCATCTTTTCCATCCCTGGCACAATTTTGTGTTCTTCCTGCTGGTCTGATTGAACCTTTCTCTCTTTTTCAACATCAGCTGCCACATGCTCCTTCTTAACTTCATCTTTCTTCTCTTCCTTCTCTTTTTCCATCTCTTCCTGTTTCATATCTGGCAGGTCTAAGGCACCAGCCGCAACTGCTTCGCTTACTTTACTTGAAACATCTTGAGAACTTGTGCAAACTTCTGTTGGTCCATTTGATGACCTTTCCGCAGAGTGCTGCTCTGATTTAGTTGAGGCTTTGAAATCATCATGTGGTTCAGGCAATGTTTCCATGCTTCCTTTTTGAAGGACAGATCTGTCACATTCAATTCTACAAGGTAAAGTGCCTTCTTCAATATTGCTTGCATGGTCTTCAGGTTCAGTGTCAGAGGATTCTTGCTGGGGGTCTCTGTCTGCTGAGTCGGCTTTCTTTAATGGCGCAATATCAAACATAACTGATGTAGCTGAAGGAGCTTCAGACTGCAGAGATGCAATTTTGGCAGAATCTGGATCTTTTGAGCACTTTGGGTCAGCCACAGATATATCTTTTTGGTCAAAGGGCTGATCTTTGTCTGATTTTATACTTGTTACCTCTTCTTCTGACTTCTCCTCTGCTGACGACGCTTGATCTTGAAGGAAAGATTTTGTCTCCTCCAATGGGCTTAACGGAGAAAACCTTGCAAGACTAGATATTGACTCAGCTGTTGTTGTTGCTGGTGTGAGTTTTTCAGACACTTCCATGTATTCATCTCTTGACTGTACTCCAGAGCTTAAGCAGGGTAAATCCATAGGAAGAGATTCTTCTTCTTTGAGAGAGGAGTACTCATATGATATACTATCTGCATCTGACCTCAGATGAGCACTTGGTATGGTAATAGGGGTCCCTATCCCCTCTGCAAAGTGCTGACCTGTTGAATATGAGGCAGAGGTTGATGAGGAATAACTGTAGGATGAGGATGAAGACTGTGTTGCATCAGTCTGGGCAGCTGTCAAGGATTCTGTTCCCTCAGTTTTTTTATCTAATGTCTTCTGAATGTCACATTCATGTTTGTCCTCAGTGGACTTGCTTAGGTCTTTTTCCTTTGACTGCTCAGAGGCCTTGCTGTCCATATCATGATGATAACCATGTACAGATGCAGGCCCTGATGTAACTGTCTCACTTTTTTCTGAGGGACCTTGACAAAGAGTGGAAGAGGTGCTAACTGTATCTTCAGCTTTCTCACTTTCCAAAGGCTCTTCTGAAGCCCCTGATATAATATCTTCCTCTTGTTTTTTAGAAGTGTATTCTGATTCATGTGTCTGCTTCTCCTTATCTTCTTTTGTCTCACTTAACTTGGTATCACTGTAATCATCGGATGCTACTTTGGTCTCCTTCTCGGACAACTCTCTGGCACCTTTTTCCATATCCAAGTCACTAGCATCATCTTCTTCACCTTCCTCTTCCTCATCCTCATAGTCATCCTCTTCCTCTGCAAATATCTTTTGACTTTTGACTGGGTATATTTCTGTCTCTCCACTTGCCAGTAATGATTTGCTAGTTGCAGGACTTTCCTTACTTGCACTCTCAGATGCAAGGACATTGTCATCTACACAATGTACCTCTGTAGCAGAAACCTGATCAGCTCCATCCTCAGGGGATAATCGACCAGGCAGGATATCTTTTTCTGGTGGTGAGTGTCTTCCAGAGGAAAATGGGTCTTCTTTGCTGCAAGATGAATCTGATTCTTCTTTCACTTGCTTTGCCAAATCCACATCTGTCTTATCGCTCTTCGTGACCTGACTCTCTGGTATGTTCTCAGCATGAGATGAGGTTGATGGTACTGTTGTGGTCTGAAGGCTTAACTGATCTTGCAATGGAGAAAACAGCCCTTGTTGTGGTGCCCCAACAGTCACACGAGTCTCAGCTTTTAGAGATGATGTTGTATCTTCACAAACCTCTGTATGAAGTGCAGACTTTGTATCTTGCCCTTTTGCCTCTTTCTCTTTCTCAGGCTCTGACATATCAGGATATAATGTAATGGAGGCAGAAGTGCAAGCCTCTTTTACTGGTACTTCAGAACAAGTATCCTTTTCTTCCTTGCTATGAAGAGAAGAACATGTGTCCTCCTTGACAGTTTCCTTCTCTTTCTCTTTCTCCTCCCTTACCAACTTCTCTGATTTGTCTTGGAAGTCACTGGAGGAAAAGCTTGAACTAGAGTCAGGAATGGTTCTATTGTCATAGGTCTCTACGTATGTAAAACTCTTGTCCACGTAAGGTGTATCTAGTCTTTCTCTATCTAACTCTTCTTCTTGGTAACTCTCCTTATTGTCTTGCTCAGAAGACGTACTGGGCCCACTCAGGATACTTGTCTTTGTCTCAGAGAAAGATGCATGGTAATCAACCTTGCTGAATGACACTGGTTCTTCGTCACTTTGTTCATCTATGTGGCCTGCAGCTCCCTGTAGAGAGGACTGGCTGGCCCTTCTATTGTCATGTACATCTATGTCAAGGTTAGAGCTAGGATATTGCTCAATGTCCCTGTCAAGTTCACTTGAGATAGGTTTTTCATAGGGCTCATATTTGGATGTTTCATAGCTCCCTTTCTCAGGTTGACACGTGATGCTGTCATCCATTTTCTCTTTCTCCGTTTTGGTCTTTTCCTCAGCAGTCTTTTCAGAGTACTTTTCATCAGTGCTGTCTGTTTTTTGAAAATGTGAGGAAGATGTTTCCAACCCTGGAGAGGCCATCTCTCGCTCTCCTTCCATTTCTCTCTCCACTTCTTTTTCAGGTTTGACAGTGTCTGTTGAGGGAGTCTGTGTTTCAGGCATTTTGGACTTTTCAGAACTTGCCTGAATGGTGGTAGGGGTTGATGGCTCTGTCACTGTTGCAATACTATCATCCGCAGGAGCTGTGGGGACTGAAGTTTTCATGGACTCCTCACTCTCCTTCTCTAACTCTGGTGAAAGCCTAGTTGAGTCTCTGCACACACCTTTATCATCTAAATGAGTTATCATTTCCTCTTTTTCACCTGTTGTGTGTGGCATTTGTTCAGCACAACTGTCCTTTGTTTCCTCTGAGGCCCATGGTTCAACTGACAATGGTCTTGAACCTGCACCACCCATGCAGATGGCATCGCCTTCATCTTCCTCTGTACTTTCTTCATTGTCTGAGTACTTTTCGGGAAATTCAGAGCCCAACACTGTTTTCACTCCGCTCTCCATTTTCTCAGTTACTGACAATGAAGTGCCATGTTTAACCTCAACACATTTCTCTTTATAGTCTAAATTCAACTTAGCACCAATGTCCATTTTCTCTGGTATTGCTGGTAAGGTTTCTATTTCATATGTTGACACAGTATGTTGCTCATCATCTCCTAGCTGCTGTGTTTTAGATGTAAGGTCTGTCTGATATTCCAGATCTTCTGCCTCAGAGCTTGACACCGATACTTCTTTTGGAGATTCTTCTTGAGATGACTTTTCAACCTCTTGATCTAATTTTTCTGGGATCACTGATTTAAAGGTATCAGCCTCCTCCTTAGACTCTAAATCAAGTTTAGAATCCACTTCTGTTTTTGATTCAGATGAAGGAATTTTTTCAGGCAATGATTTGCTAGGACTGCTGGGAGCTGCTTTAGATTCAAATTCAAGCTTTGAATCAAACGTTTCATCAGTTGCTTCTTTTTGCCGTTCTGCAGTTTGGTCCAACTTTGAAATGTCATCTGCTTTTTCAGACAGTGACTCCAGTGGTTTTGGTTTGCTTTCTTCCACATGCTTTTCTTTAGTTTCTTGATCTTTGTCAGAAGCTACACTTGTGGACACAGGTTTTTCAATAAAGACCTCTTCTGCCTTTTTCACTTTAGAATCCTGGTCTTCTTTGTCTGCTGATTCAGTTTTCTCAGATATGGACTTCAAGACTTGGGATTGGTCTTCTTCCACATCTTTATCCTTAGGTTCATGATCTCCTTTTGGAGAAATATCTGTTTTTTCTTGAGCTGATTCTAGTGTTTGAGATGTGATGTCTTCCATGATCTCATCTTTTGCTTTTTGACCCTCTGTTGTTGCTATTTTCTCAGATGTGAAAGTGGTTTGAGGATGGCTCTGCTGTCCATGACTGTCCTCAGAACTTGTGTCTATTTTCTCTGCAGCTGACTGCAGCAATTGAGATTTGATGTCTTCCATGTCTTTATGTCCTTGATCTGGTATGCAGATTGAATCTTTTTCTTCTGAAACTACAAATGTTTCAGGTGTGCTCATTTCTTTAGATTCATATCCTGTCTTGGAAGTAACATCTGATTTTTCTGCCATAGATACAGTTTCTTCATGTTTCACTACATCTGACTTCAGCTCCAGAGGCCCAGTTTCCTCTTTCTGTTTCTCCTTAGAAACCTGATCCTCTTTCACCACCAAATCTGTTTCCTTTGGTGGGGCCTGACAGACTTCAGGCCGGCTTTCTTGTATTGGTTTGTCTTTTGATTCAAGGTCAGATGTTAATACTGCGTCAGTTTTTTCTGATGTTGATGGCTGTGTTTTGGATTCAGTATCTTCTAAAACTGATTTTTTCAATTCTTGTTCTGGTTTGTAAACTAATTCCAAGTCTTCTGAAACTACAGACTTTGAGATTTGAGACTGACTAGTTTCTGTGAGTTTTTCTTCAGGTTGAAAGTCTAATTGTGTGGGTATATCTGGTTCTTCTAAAGTATGTGTTGTTAACTGGGTATCGTCCATAGGCTTTGTAGATTCTTTCTCACCTTCAGAGGTTAAATGTGTCTCATCTGACTTTAAAGCCAGAGTCTCCATTTTCTCCATTTGTTCATCCTTATGTTCTTGAACCACACTGCTTGATAAATCTGTGACCTCTGTAATTGACTGACTCACCACTGTATACTTATCTTTTGACTCATATTCTGGTGTTGAGGTGACATATTCCATTGAAGCTGGGTGCTGTGTTTCAGAGTCAGTGTCTTTCGTAGGCTTTTTTGTAGATTCTTCCTCACTTTCTAAAGTATGTATTGTTATTTGAGTATCGTCCACAGGCTTCTTTGTAGATTCTTCCTCCCCTTTCGAAGTTAGATGCGTCTCATCTGACTTTAAGGCTGGAGTTTCCATTTTCTCCACTTGTTCCTCCTTATGTTCTTCAACCATTTTGGTTGCTAAATCTTTAACCTCTGTAACTGACTGACTCTCCACTACATGTTTATCTTTTGATTCATAATCTGTTTTTGAGGAGACACATTCTGCTAAGGCTGGCTGCTGTATTTGAGATTTGATGTCTTCTGTGGTCTCATCTTTACTTTCTTTGTCCATTTTGGCTGTAGCTTCTGTTTTGTCTGGTAGCACTGAGGTCTGGGAAGGTCTCTCTTCAATAATTTCTTTAGAATCTAATAGTTGTGCTTGAGATGGGGTTACTTTTGTCTCCTTTTCTTCTGTCTCTTGATCAGCTCTGTGGGACGCATCTCTGTCTTCTAAAGTCGACTGCAGAGATACAATTTCAGTAACTTCTAATTTCTTTTCAGTCATCTGATCCAAGTGATCTACTTCTGGTGCAGCTGATTCAACACCAGATTCCTCTGTATGTTTTGTTAAAGACACATCAAATGTTTCAACTTTTAAATCTGATGACTTTAGGTCCACAGGTTGTTTAATGGCCATATCTGTCTCTCTGGATTCATCAACCAGTGTTGAGGGTAAATCTGCCTTTTCTGGTGTTGACTCCAAAATCTGAGGCTGTTTTTCTTCGACCTGTTTCTCTTTAGATTCTACATCCTGCTTGGGGGCTGTTTCTGTCTTTTCAGGTATTTTTTCAGCAATCTCAGCTTGGAAATCCTCTTTAGGAGGCATATCTATTTTCTCTGATACTGAAATTAGACCTTGCTCATGTGCAATTTCTGTCTGCTTTTCTTTAGATTCTAAAAATGACAGAACCGCTTCTTTATCTGTCTCTGGCAGAGAGGTTTGCTGATAATCTTCTTCTTGTTTCTCATCTGCATCCTCTTTCTCATCTTCATAAAGCTCCTTTTCTTTCTCCTTTTTCTCTTCTTTTTCTACAGAGGATTTAACCTCAGAGGATTTACCACCATGATCATAATCATCAAGGAACTGACTTGCCCTTTCCTCTGCAATTGGGACTTTATTACAAATGTTGATATCATCTTCATATTTTTCCTCATACTCCTCCCTACTTTTTTGCAGCAGTGCAGTATTCTCTGTTGATAAATCTTCCTTTTTCAGTGAGGGCTCGTCCTTTTCAGTCACTGCAGCTGTTACAGTGGTGGGCTCTTTTGTGTCTTGGATTTGTGGAATGTCCTGTTCTTTTACTAGCAACTCATCTTTCTTCTCCTCCTTCTGTATTTCTTTTTCATCTGCTTTCATAACCGTATCTAGTTCAACCTTTTCAATTTGTGTTCTTTGTTTTTCACTCTCCTTTTCAACTTTAAATTCAGAGGGACAGATGGCCCCCTCCTGTTCTTGTTCCAACTGTTCAGGGAACACTCTGGACTTATCTTCAACAGGTGACATACGAAGAGGGGAGTGAGTAGCACTGGGTGGTCCAGATTGTGTAGGTGAGGCCATTTTAACAGTGCTGTCATCAGGGCTGAAGCATCTGTCATCAGCCTCTGGAAAACTACCTGACTCTGAAACCAATGGCTTAGAAGGGACAGGTGATGTAGAGGCTGGTGTTGCAGTAACTTCAGATGGTGCATCTTTAATTGGAGACACTGTTCTTTCCTCCAGAACAAGAGGAGACACAGGTTCCTTATCTAGTGTGGACTCCAAGGGAGAAGGCTCAGGACTCTTGGGCTTGTCACCTTCTTTGTCTTTCTCCTGGAGTTTAGGAGAGACAGCATATCCTTCCTGTAGCTTTCCAAGACAAATGTCAACATTTGGTGTTTGATCTTCATACTCATCCTCCTCCTCCTCCTCGTAGTGGGTAGTGGTCTCGATGCCCTCTATCTTCCCCTCCAAGGGAAGAGGTGGACATTCCTCTGAAGGAGGTGATTTGAAGCACTTGTCCTCTTCTAGGGAGGATGTCGGAGAGATGGTTCCAGCAGAGTGCAGATAGTCTTTTCCTTGGGTAGCCTCTGTTTGGGTTATGGGATGTACACTGTTTACTGTGTCCAGAAGTAATGAGCTCTTTCCAGTGTCTTCAGTCTGAGGTGCTGTGACAGACGCCACTGACTGATCCTCAGTAACAGAGGTTGGAAAAGACGACAGTTTGTCATATTCGGTGATTGATGTAGCTGAAGAGACATGTTCCTCCTCAGCCAACGGAGCAGCTATTATGCTGGTGTATACCGAAATAGCAGGCTCTTGGATGCCAGTAAATGCTTTTGCAGCTCCTTCACCCATCGCTTGCATCTCTTTCATGCCGTGGATTGCATCAAAGGAGCCTGTTTGATCTGGTACTGAGACGTCATACTTGCCAACTTCATATTGAAGGTAAGGTATCCTGTCCTCAGATTCCTCGTGAATCTCCTCATCTGAGATAGTTTGTTCAGTCTCTGAGTAACCTGGTATTGTCTCATCCTGAATGTATGATAAACTCTCTGCTGCAGCAGCTCCTTGGACTGTGGATGTAACACCAGCCGTGAGACCTCCCACATTAGATAAGTATGCATCTTCATCATCTTTGGCCAACAGAGTCTCCTCACTCATCTTGTGGTCCCCCTCCTTCGTTAACTTCTCATCAGCCACGTCTTTGATTTCTTCATCCGCAATAGCATCCAAGTCTTCAGCCTCTTCTAACTCTGCTTTTTCAACATACTCATCTTCCATCTGTCCTTCTTCAACTTCAGACTTTGTTATGTCTGTCACTGCTTCCCTTTCGCTGTGCTTCTCCATTTCTTCAACCTCATGTTTTCGGTCAACTCCTTCCAAATCTTTGCTCTCTTTTGCGATCCCTTCATCTTCTTCATCTCCTATGCCCATGTCCTCTTCCTCCTCTATTGTTTTCTTTTCAACGGTAACCACTTCCTCTTCCTCTTCTTCTTCATCCTCTATGGCCGTGCCTTCATCCTCATATTTATCACTCTCCAGTCCTTGGCGCTCCTCTGCAGTTTGTTCAGGTTCAGTTTTGATTTCTTCTGTAGTTGGCACTTCTTTTTCTGGAGGTCCTGGTTCCTGTATACCTGTTTCAGTTTGTGAAACAACAGTGTCTTCTTTCTCACCAGCAGTATCCACACAGGGGCCTACTTCTTCATCAGCTGGTTGTTCTGAAGGTGTTAGGGAATCTTCTTCTGGCTTAGGCTGATCTACCAGTTCAACTGGTGTCTTTTCTCTCAGCTCTTCAAACTCCTTGGTCAAATCTTCTGGAGTTGAAGGAACAGATTTGACTTCTCCTGTGCCATTCTCCTGAGTCTCAGACTGAGCCTTCTCAGCTTTTGATTCTGCAACAGGCTCTGCACTTTCCACCTTAGTAGTCTTGCTCTTTACTGTTTTGGGTTTCCCTTGGGTTTTGGCCTTGTGAAGAGTTTTCCTGACCTCCGGTGTGAAGGGTTTTAGATCAGGTTTGGTAATTTTCCTCAGTTCAGGTTTTGAAACATCCTTGGTCTTTATTTTTTTCTCATCTTTTTTCACAGAGTCGTCTTTTTTGATTTCACGTTTTTCTTTCTTGATCTCTTTCTTTTCCTTATCTTTTTTCTCATCCATTTTGGACACCCTTTCTTTTTTGAATGTTTTCAGTGATTTCTCCTTCATTAACTTTTTCTTTTCTGTTACCTCAGTTTTTGGTTTCAATGGCTTAGTGTGTTTTTTCTCCTCTTTTTTGTCAGACTTGTTCTCCTTGACAGATTCACTTTTTGTCTCAAGGACGGATGTGTCCTCCTGTCCATCCAGTTCTTTCTTGAAGGTCTTTGTAGGTGTGTGCATCTTGGGAGAAGACTTAAGACTTTCTTTGCTGTCAGTCCTTTGCTTTAACTTTGTCTGTTTTACAGCAGAAGGTGAGACACCAGAAGCTATGTCCTTTTGCGTAGCCACTGGATACCTCAAAAAGTCAAGGTGTTTTAGCTTTTCAAGACCTTCAAGGATTTTGTTCTGTGGTGCATTGCCAGGGAACAGAACTCTGACAATCTTCTCTGTTGGGTTGGCAGGAAGCCACACCACAAGAGCTGTAACAGATGTTAAGTATGGCACAGATATTTCACCCTCCTTTCCGTTGGGGAGCACAATCCCAGTTTTGGCCTTGCTGTTACCAGCCCACTTCTGCATAAGAAACTGCATTTCCTTACTGTCCTTCACTGGATTAAGGACAAACATTTCTAACCTGCCCACACCCATCTTGTGAAAAAGTGTGATGGGTTCAATGGTGTTACTAACTACACGGAAAAGAGGTTCAGGCTTAATTCCAAGCTTGTCAAGGTACTGCAATGTCAAAGAAGCTTCTTCAATACTGCGTTTGACTTTTAAGTTTGATTCAGAGGTGCGGAGCTTCTCTGGTACATTGAAGAACACAACTCCAAGCTCTGGTGAAATGAGGTTCTTCATCCAGTCGCTGTAGGTAGTTGAGCCTTGTGACTGCTCTTCCTCTTGCTCTGCTATCTTCCTCTGAAGGAGCCCATTGATACCAGGGAGATTGTCAGCACCAATGTGAGTGAGCAGAATGGAATCAATACGGTCTAAGTGTCGGACAAGTTTCCAGAAGCATGATTTTCTCTCAGAGCCGCCATCAATCAAAATATTGAAACCATTGACTGCAAACAGGGCAGAGTCTCCTCTTCCTCCAGGGAAGATGTAGCAGCAAGGCTTTGACAGTTTGAGAAATCCTCCAGAAGTGGGTGGCTCAAGTAGGTCAAATGGGGATGGCACATCTACTGTCTCGGAAATGTACTCTGTGAACTCTGTGACGCCCTCCATTTTGGGAAGTATGGGCTCAGGATTCAATTTATAGTCCAGAAACTCCCTCAGACACTGCCCCAGGGAGGTCCAACCTGCCTCAGTTCGGCAGGACACAGTGAGCGTTGCCCGCTGCCCTGGGTCTGCTTTACCCAGCAGATAAGTGACCTACATATGGAGAAAGATAGAGTCAGGCAAAATGCTGACTAGTAGTCCAACAGTACTCCAAAATATTTGGTCAAGTAACTGTTCTTGTGCTTCATTAGACTTCATATGGCAGTCTAATTACATTTCATTTGATTACTGAATTTGATGCAAAGTGAAGATTCCATGTTGAAAGGCCTCTGACCTACCCCAGGATCAGCAAAGACACGCGATAAGGCTTGATAAGTAAACACTCCAGTTTGAAGAAGCAGGTCACCTTGGTCCGAGTTCTGCCCACTCAGGACCAGTAGCTTGTGCACAGCTGGGTCAGACACAAGAGAATGGATCTAGGACAAAGGGAGAGACACAGAGGGTACTTTAAAAAGACATCACAAAAGTTCTTTGTATTTTAGGAGGTCAAATAGATATTTATCTGCTTGGTCTAACCTAACAAGTTTCAGCAAATATAGTAAAATATATGATTTGTCTTTGACCAGAATTGCATGAATAGCTGCAGTCAGACTCCATACAACTTTTCAACAGTCATTTTCTGAGAAGCCTACCTCTGAAAGAACTGTATCTTCCGATGGATTGACTAAGACAACTGTCTCGAGTACATCACTTCGGTGGTGCAGTGTCCTTTGTCCTGTAAAAATATGCAAAGGCTTTACTGCTAAAGTTTAAAAGAACTGGTATGGGCCTTGTCCATATGTTGCAAACCTCACTCTGTCAGATGGACAATATTTATGAAAGGTTCCTGTAAAGCTACAGACTTTATACCTTTAAATAAAAAGGAACTTCTGGATTAGTACAGAAACTATTTCAACAAGCAAACAATATCATTCAGCTGCTAAAGATTCCCTGACATGACTGCATTGTAAATGTAGTCATTATTTTTTTTGGCTAACAATAACAGACCACAATATTAATAACAGGAGTTAATTCTTGTGGGATGTCCATCATCAAGGAAACAGCTTAATGGGCTATGCCATTTCTGGCCTTACAATGCACTAACAGGATTCACTGCACTGCATGAAACAGTTTAATCCATTGGTAATATCGCAATAATTATGGTATGAATTACTGTACTTAGAGAAGGAAATAAAAAATAAAAGTGTCCAAAATTACAAAGAATATGTGACTTACACAAAAGACTGACTTGATTTTTAAGTTTCTACATATATTTCAGTCCCTAATTGTACTTGCACATTAGGTGCGTGCCACATTTTAGCTGAATCATTGCCTTACAGGCCAGCCACTGAAAGGTAAGTCTGTAAAGTGCTTAATGCAGCAGTGTTGCCATATTAATCCTAAACTGCATGCCCCTTAAGAACAATGCATTGATTGACCAATCATATTAAATGGCAGCTGTAGCATCATTGGATGAAGTCCATTAGGAGATATGCAGATTGAATATTATTAGGTGGTAAGCTATATCTGATTTTAATTTCAATAAAGAAATGCATTAAATAGACCCACTGTAATACTTTCATGTTTATTTGTTGTAGTTCAATATTGCAACATTGAGAAAATTTGCAGTGCTCAGAAAATTCTTAAGGAGTATTGTTAACAAGATATTACAGTGGTTTAGATTACAAACAGACAGCTGGTGAGGACTAAAGGGTCAGGGTTTAATAAGTATAAATGACTGTAAGAGGATATCTAGACAAAGCTGACAGTGGGTGGCAGGGAAACCACATGCCACAACTACAAAAAGGGATCCTTTATTCTCCTTCATCTCAATGGACAAACCCAAACAAACATGATATTTTCAACTGTAGAAAATCTGTTAGGAGATCAGGCCGTATGGGGGAATTGGAGAATACAGCATGACAGGAGCTGGTTTCCAAGCTGGCTTGAGCCCAGAGCTTCCATCAGATGGAAGCTTATATTGGGCATATAAGTAAATTGTTTGCAAAAACTGTTGAGACATACTATGAGGCATGGTTATAATCATACTGCAGACAATGTTTGATACCACAGTAATACAGATATTATGCAAATTATTGTTTTTATTCTCTATCACGTCATAGATTTATTTTCACTTCACCTTTATTAAACCATTCCCTTTGTACAATCTTTCTAATGTATGGTTAGTTTGAAAATGTATACAATAGAAAGACTGCAGTTAACTATAGACTATACAAATAGAACATCACCAACTAATGAGGTCTTCTTCCCAGTATAGAGTGAAATGGACAGGCTTGTCCAGAAAAAGCATGCCAATGCACCAGTTTGGCAATGTATTGGTTTCCAACCAAGTGACTGTTGAGAACCACTGGATGTTAACAGTCTAACATGTTGTCTGTGCAGAATAAATGATTATATATAAGTATTATCAGAAGCTTGCCAAGTTGGTAATTAAAGTTGGTACAATTGCCATCAGGGACAATGCACACTACAGTGTAAAGCTCTATAATGCTCACATATGGTCTGAATTGGGATCACGACAATATTGTTTATCACAATATTCTGCATTTGTTGAAATTTACATTAAGGTCTAAGCTTATATAATATTTGCCTTTGTTGTAGCCCTTCAGTGACACAGCAGTTTGGAACAACGGGATACAGAGAAACTGTCTAAATCAAAGCCTTGTCGCTTGCCTCAGGCACACAGCCCAGAGCAACATCAGCTGACTGAATAGGAAACAGATACTGTAAAGTGTTTTTTGTTTCTCAACAAAGTTATCATCCCAAGAGTTCTCATATTTAGCTGAAACGGGTGGTGGCATAGATTCCTTCCTGAACCTTCTTTGGAGAGTCTGTAGCAGTCAGTACTGCTGTTACATGTTAAGGTGTGAACAAATACCAGTATGTTAGTTTTCATCACAGTTTAAATTCCAGTATTATTTCAGTATTGTCTTCATCACCATGTGCAGTAAACCCTTAAATTATCTCAACACTGTCTCAATATTGAAATAGTGCTTTCAAACTTAACATAACCCTGATCTGCAGTTTTGAGCAGGATGTTCAGCCAACTTCGTTTTCCGCTATTCCCTCTGGCACTATTTCACAGAGGGAGGAAGCATAACATCATAACTCTTCATAACTCCTTGTTTCCACTTAATGAAAATGTGCCCTATTATTTTTCTTCAAACAGTGATCTTTACCTTATATAATAGCCGTTATATACACTTGAAGCATGCACTCATCCTCGCTTCATTCATGTAAGTGTTTATCAGTGCTGCTTTGTTAAATGACTGTTCCTCAGTCCTTTCACAAAATAAGATAGCCGGTCGTTTCTCAAGCACGTCTCAGTTGCGATTCAGTCCTACCTCGATTGACCTGTTTGATATAAATATCCGCTTATGAACACCCAAAATGAGAACGCTATGTTAAAATAAGCTCAAACAGAGCACTGACAGAACGCAGACCAAGCCACTGCACTGCTCCAGATAGTTTGCTCCAGATATAATCACCCCAGAGAGTGAGAGGCCTATGGAAGTCGGGAACAAAATTGCCTCATCTGAGGTGAGGCATCGGAAAGTGGCTTTTCAGAGAGTTACTTAATGCCATCACATCATATGTGCTTTTTCACCTACGCAACCTTGAGACCTTGCTGTGGTGCACATGCTCAGCAACACTGCATCTGTTTCTGCTGCTGACAAAGCCACGTTTTCTGTTATCAGCTTGATGACGGTGTCAGATTGAGGGTGAGGACTCGGTATCGAGACATTTCCTCTTAAGTGCATAAAAAGAACAGGCCAAGGCCTCTTGTGCATTAACCCTACAAGACTGTCAGTACATAATGAGATAACGATGTTGTGTGTAAAAGGTTTACTGTAATCTCATTTTCACAAATGTGTTATTCATCCTGGATTTATTCCAGGGCAATATTAGATGAGACAGAGTACAGTTTAATTAACCACAACTTATCATGAGTCATATCATTAGCTAGCCTTTGGCATGGCAAGAAGTCATATGTCTCTGTTCTCCCTAAAACATCAATGTCTCTGAGACTTCCTGGTTTTATCAAGCCATCCGACACTTACTTAGAATCTAAACCTGACCTTCCTTTCTGCTGTACCTTCACAAGCAGCGAATGTCCCAGTTTCTTCATGTAATCCTAGTCCTGTGATTTGGCAGTGCTGAATGATTCTGCTGGTAAGCCAGTTATAGCCTCTGTGTTAATCGCAGCTGTGTCCACCACTTGGGCGAAGGTGTGGCCATACCATCATGCCACTGAAATTAGGACCACACTTTCTACGTGCATCTGTCATATAATAATAAAAAACACACCAGGCCTTTCTGACCGAAATAACTCTATACAGTGATTCACCGAACCCACTGCCATGAAGGGATGAACACAAGGCCAGTAGCAACCGAGGAAGCATGACAGACAAATGACTATTATTATGCTTATTATAAGGACCCTCATTTTTTCTATTTTTTTGCCTGAGGCATGCTTACAATGTGCAGTTTACTGTACCAAAAAAAGTCAGAATTTATTTACGATAATAATTTTTTAACTTATCTTTATCCCTTTGAATTAAATAGGCTGTGTTGGTTACTTTACCTTTAAGACTGATAAATCTATGTAAATGATCTCTGTTCTGATTGGCTGCCCTGTATTGCATCAGCTGGACCACTACTTATAACTTCAAAGTGAATGGGCGGAGCTCAGCTGTTGGAAGATGAATAGGTGGATGTGTGTACATGTGCCATTGCAAAAATAATTAATTCAAAATGGACTGTTTGTTTTTGCAGTTTATTTTCCATATGTGAACTGTATGCACTGGGGTGCCATAAGCATCAAACATTTTTTTCCAAAAAAGTGAGAAAAAAACATTTTTAGTTATATATGCCCTTTAAAGACACAAATGGGGAAGACAAGTAATGAATTTAATAAATTTAGCTAAGAATAGTGTATTGCAGAAATATGTTAAACTTTTCTGAGATAAATAAACAAGAAAAGAGAAATGAGAAGACAAATAAGGACAGATATGACCAAACTGGTGACGAGGCAGGGAAAGGGCAGGAGCACATACTTGGTGCACTACTCCTGTTTCCTAGAGACAAAAACTCTAGGCTCAGTCTTGGGCCAACTATGAGCTCAGAACCCTCACCCTGCCTATTCCCTTAGTTTGGTGCCCATATGTTTGTGGCTTTCCTCTTAATTACAACTGCACTTTTCCTCAACACATATTATGAGTGTTAATTAAATATTTTTTCCCAGCATATCAAATACAAACCCTCACAGGTCACTTTATTAGGTACACCTACCTTGTATCTACACTGTCCATTTGCCAGTGAACTGCTGTGCAAAGAATGGTCATCACCCAAATAATACCTGCTCGGTGGTGGTCACACTGGGGTCCTGACCATTGATGAATACGCTATGATTGTAGATATAAGGTTCCCCTAATAAAGTGGTCAGTAAATCTATATAAAAATTTAATATTTATGCAAAAATGTTTAAATCTGAACCTGTTGAAATTTTCCAAATACTGATATGTTTCTATTTCTAAACCAAGACAGAAAGAAACAGGGAAAACATCTTCACAGGTTAAGTTGGACAGGGTCTATTGTATAACACAGTACTGCCAGGGAATTGAGACTGAAGCAGTCAGAGGATTTACAAAAAGCTTATAGGTGGATTTGCAGACTGGCAGCAGGCAGGTTGAGAAACAGCCTGGTTTACTTGCC